ATGGATGGATGGATGGATGGATGGATGGATGGATGGATGGATGGATGATGGATGGATGGATGGATAATAAATTTGGAAAGAGCACTAAGGGCAAAAGCTTCCCAGTGTATGTACTGAAAACAGTTATAGCTTTCAGAATTTTAGGTCTGCATTCTCATAAATTGTTCTAAATAATAAGAAACAAACCTGCTTTGACATTACCTGGAGAGTCATTTATTTCAAAGCTTGACTTCACAGAAAATTTTCCAAAGATAATTTCTTATTATAATTGATCTCAGCTTAAATTATGCCACAGGCATTACTGGCTTCACTGTGAAATAATTCCTTTAAATAAATATGATGCAAAGGGAAAAGGAGTTCTTAGATATTTCCTTGGTAAATTGGCTGATCTGTTACCTTTCTGTTACGCTAATGGCTCCAAAAGCAGTAATATTACTTTTATTAATTCAGGAGTAGAGATAAAATGAGTTTCCTCTTCTCCCTTACTATTTCTTTCTTCAAAAATAAGAAAAAAAAAATTATGGATATGTGTTAGATAAGAAAATGTCCAAATGGTCCATACCTTGTGAACAGCACCACTGTTATCAAAGCTGCCAGTCCTACAGAACTTCAGTTATGGTTTTTTCAGCATAGGAGACCTACAGTCATGGGGAAAGAGCCATACCACTGAATTATTCTTCTGTATCTCCAACTCCTTTTTTCTTTCTTCTAGGCAAGGGCATCCTTAACTACGTGCTCCAATCCTGAAATGGTTGTAGAGCACCAAAAATGTATCTTTTGAAGTCTGGGAAGCTGTAATGCACAATGTGCATTGCTGAGCTTTTGGTTATATCCCTCTCTCAGCCTTTTGCATTGTGGTAGGAGAATAATTGAAATTCCATGTCTTTGAGGGTTTTTCTTTTTCCGAGGTAGAGAGAGGGAGACATCTTTTCCGTGTGAAATTTGAGGATGGAGGGAAATGGTGGTTTACTTTGGTTTGATCAGGATACGTGTCCATGTTCCTGTAGCTCCAGAGAATTCCATTAGCAGAGAAGGGCTTCAATTGTTTCTTGAAAATATGCATTTAAGTAGGCAAGCAGTAGTTACCTGACATTATATATACACCATTAGAACAGATTTCATCACAAAATGCTCTGAATCTCATTATAAGCAGGCAATGAGTGTCCTGCTGATGCAACAGCGAGAATTCGTTGGACCAAATGAAGAAAAACTGTGGCTATAGGGTTAGATGATTGATTTCAAGGAACAAGACTGAAAAAAACTGCTATTCACTGGAAATGGAGAAGTCGGGAAATAGTCATTCTTGGACTCAAGCTGCAGTCTAATTTCAATTATTATTTCAAGTTATCTGAAGCCTGCTAAGTAACTTTAGATTTACATGAGCTTTCAAGCAGCTCACTTTGCTGCCCAGCTTAATTTTACATCCTATTTGATTTAAATTGTTACAATTCACACCGAGGAAACAGTCTGAAAGAGTTGGGTTCAAGCGGTACACATTTATTACAGCTTTTGTATCCCCATCCACGCTGTGCGCCCACTTTGCGGTCAGACATTCTTTGTTGGATTCCCTTTCGCTAGTGCTGCGTTTCAGCCTCCCCGCAGGGCTGCATTCAGCCGGGCAGCTCCCGGACGGGCTGCGGGACCCGCCCGTCCCCCCACAAGCACCGCGGCCGTTCGCGGCTCGCTGAAGCGTCTGAGCGAGATCCGCCCGCGCGGCGACCCGCACCCGCGAGGTGGGTCCACCCGGGGGGAGGGAAGCGGGCCGCCACGCCCTCCTCTCCCCCTCCGCCACGGAGAGGGGCCCGCGCCGATCCGGGACTCCCCTCAGCGCGCGGAGGGGCCGGCTGACTGCTTTGGCACCGGCGGGCACGGCACCACGTCAGCTCGCATGGGCTGCGCGAGGCCGGGATGGGCGACCCCAAGTGATGCAGCCAGCCGGCGACGGGGGAATGGGGGAGTCTGAGCGCAGTTCTTCCCGGCCTCCCTGAGAGCCGACGGGCGGCCTGTGCGGCTCCCCACCCCGGAAGGCAGAATCAGACGTGGCGAGATCCCCTCGGCTGACTGCCGGGCTCGCAGGGGGGCTGCGGGGTGCCTTCCCTCCTCCGTCACCACAGTCACCACACGGCTCCCGGCTCGTGGGCAGGGTGCGCTGGGGACGGGGGACACCCGAGGCGGCCCCGTGCCGCACGCTCCGAGGCCGGGAGGGGGAATGCGCGTCTCCGTGCCCGCAGGGACCTCCGTGAGGAGGACGGACAGCCGCGACGGGAAGGGCTGAGCTGCGGCCCCGCGTCCGCCGTAGGGAGCGCGTGGCGCTGCCTTCGGTAGGGCGGTACGAGGGCTCGGGCAGGGGGTGCAGTCCTCCCCCGGCCGCTGCCCCAGGCCCTGGACAGCTCCCGCTCCGAGACCCCTCGGAGCGCGCTCCCGGCGCTGCCCACCGCCCGGCGAGGCCAACAAAGCAAGGCGAGGGGCGGGGAACGTCTGAAAAAAAAAAAAAAATCAGACGGCGAGTCAGATTTTCCTCCCGAAAGCCTCAAAGTGTCCACGTCCTCAAAGCATGGAACCAATTTAGCGCCGCCGCCTTCCTCTTCCCTCCCTCTCTCCCTCCCCCCCCCCCCCCCCCCCCCCCCCCGACCCCGCAGCCGAGCAGCGCGGGGATGGGGCCTGTGAGCACGTGACAGCGCTGGGAGCCGCGCGGGCCCCGCGGTCGCCGCGCGCCCATTGGCTGCAGCGCTGCCGGTGCCTCGCAGCCGCGGGACCCTCCTGCGGTATAAGTAGGGCGGAACGGGGCTTGATTAATTTAGCATCCCGGGCAGCAGGTTTCTGCTAAGTTTGGAGTTACTCCTCGCGACTGTATGCCCGCGTCCTGCACGTAATAGCCAACCACGTCCGGGGGCTCTGCAACACAAGGAGTCTGCATGTCTAGCAAGTAGACATGCTCAGCTTTGTGGATACGCGGATTTTGTTGCTGCTCGCAGTAACTTCATACCTAGCAACAAGCCAACGTAAGTTCTTTCCGCTTGTTCGTGGCATGGGTGGCGGCAGGGGGTGGCTGTCCCGCTCTGCGCGCTCCGGAGACCCTCTCTAAAGCTGCCACCTCCGTCTCAGAGCGGCGCCTCTAGTTCAGAACTACCAACGGATGGCAAAAGGCCAACGAGATAACACTCCCCCTCCAAAAAAAAAAAAAAAAAGAAAAAAAAAGAAAAAAGAAAGAAACAGAAGATGCGCTCGCATCCCAAGGAGCACGCAAAGCCCTCTTCCAGGTGCAGAGGCACAAAGTCCTGGAGCAGAGTGCTGGCCGGGATGCACCCACTCCGCGCTCCCCGGACCGGGGCGCGGCTCTTCCCGTCCCTCCGCCGCTTTGTGCCGCGTCGCCGCGCGCCATGGCGCCGCCTGCCGGTCGAGCGCGGAACGGCCGCGCAGCCAGTTCCCAAGAACGGGGGTCCTCGCTGTCCTCGGGGGTCTGCTGAGAGGGAAAGGCGTTACGAGGCAGGAGAGGAGAGGACGAGCAGGGATATCAGCTCCTGTTGGAGATTTTAAAGGGTTCCGCTCCCTGGCATGAGGATTTGGTTCTCCCGCGCTTTGCTGTGGGAGCAGCGCAGTCCCTCTGCACGTACATTGATAGGGAGTCTCCCCCACGCGTGCCCGGGGGAGAAGCGCACTTTTCCCTTGCCTTTCGCCGTGCAGCACTCAGGGAAACGCTGCCCCAGCCTCCCCGCTTCGAAGAAACTGCTTTGCGGGGGGAGGGGGGAGGCTGGCTGCGTTACCCGACAAGGACCCGGCCGAGCTGCCCGTGGCCGACGCCCAAGAGCTGCGGCGAGATCGTGCCCGGCGGGGGGCCCCGGTCGAGGCCCAGCGGGCTGCGGGCCGCCCTCGGCCCCTCGCCTCCCCCTGGTGACGGGCGGCGGTCGGAGCGCCTCAGCCGGAGCTCTTTGGGTGGCTGAGGGGGCTCGGCTGGGAGTCCCACATACCCCCTGTGCCACCATCACCTGAAAGCAGCCACTTTTTGCTGTAGGCAATCTGTAATCCACCGTACTTTAGTTTAGTGTTGTTCTGCGCTTCAGTATTGCCTTCTTTTGCTGCATGAACAGCTTACATTTATTGTATTCATTGCTCAAGTGGCACTTTATAAGGGGGAGGAATGTCCAAAAGCCAGAAAGTAACGCATCAGGTTACTGGCACTGAACTGTAGTGTGAAGCATTTCAGCCAAAATAGATAATTTGCTGCTTTAAATTTGGAAAACAGACTTTGAAAATCATTTTCTCCAACTAATTAGCAAAAGCATTCTTTGTAGGAAATAGCATGCAAAGAAAATTGCCTTCCATTTGGTGGGTGACAGCTTCAGATAGTTCTCTGCTCTACACAAAGATGTTTTACAGGGAATACTGGAAATAGATGTTCTTTAACATTCTCCATAAGAGTACAAGGGGCCGCTTATATTAAAATTTGAAGTTACCCCTTCTAATTAATATCTTCATCTATGTCATGTCTGGGTTTATTCAGCTGTTGCATGTACGTGTGAAAATATATATGTGGTTGTTTTGGGTTTTTTTTTTTAGATACGTATTTCTAAGCACATTTAAGGGAGGATTATAGAAAATATTGCTTTAATTTCATTTAAAGATCTGTTTTGATTTGGGAAAATATAACTCATAGCTGTAGGTTCACACAGCTTGAGATAACGGCATTAAGAGAAAGCAATTGCATTAAGAAAGTTGACAAAGATCACATTTTTATTCAAAAACATTGAAGTGTAAGCCTTTTAAAATAATGGAATCCACATTCTAATTATCTCTTTTTTTTTTTTTTTCTTCTTTCCCTTCCTTCGGCAGATGTGAGTGAGGTCAGTATGATTCTTTTTTAATCTAGTATCTAATCTTCAACTTCCGTTAAGAAGCCAGACTACCTTGTCAGGGCAGTATTACGTAGTAACCTTAGTTCCCAAGGTGGCCCTGGGAAGATACCAGTCCTGAAGGGCTTGCCTGGAAATGTACCCACCCCAATTTCTGCAGTGGGCTGGCCTTTTTGAGGGACTGCCTTCATAGGTGTAAAGACCATGAGGAGAAGTAACAGAGCATTGGTGTTCGGGCATCATACCTGGCAGTTTGGGGTGGAGAAGGCCAGTCTTCAGGCTAAATTTCATTGCACGGAAGGATTATGAGAGAACTCAGGTGTGATTTTCATTTATGTTATATTTGTAGGCTATAATAAGTATAAAATTGCCATCCTTCAACAGAAGTTTCTAATGTAGGTACATACATCTTTACTATATAATAAACTCTTAACCTTGCTAGTCATTTAAAAAGCATAGGGTATATTTAAATATAGGGTGCTGACAGAAATTGTAGGGTTGAAAGGAGATAAAATAGAGTACAAACTTAAATTCTTTTTTTTTTTTTTGAAAGGGATAATTTGTACCTTTTTTTTCTAATTCTCTGCCTTGTCTCTTCCAGGCATCTGCAGGGCGGAAGGTAAGCAGCTTCATCTTTCTTGTGTGGACCTGTAGATGACATCAAATATTACTGAGCAAAGCAATATTTTGTGGAATGTTGGATGACAAAATTGACTAAAGTCATTATTTCCCAGTGCTCACTGAGATGAGCAAGATGTAAAAAGGAGAACAGTGGGTGCAGTAACTTAGCAAAATGGTAAATGCAGGTTTTGGATTTAAACTGCTGTATCCAAGAGAAGAACTAAGCATACTAAGAATCCAACTGCATCAAGAAAGGATTCTTGTTCAGCAAGAGTTCTTTTGGAAGGGTTTCATGAATTGAACAGTACAGCATAATCTGTACAGATCTGAAAGGCTAAGTAGATAACCATTTCATTTTGAGAAGTCTTGTTATTAAATAACAGACAGTTAGTAGAGAACAAAACAAACTGTGTCTGTACTTCTGTGCAGTGATACTTCAACTGATGTAGTGATGATAGTGACTAATCTGTGTCTAGTAGCATCTTGAGGTCAAAGATATACTATGGAAAATAAGCGTAGGACCTGTCTGTGCAGTTTTCTTTCCCTGTTTTCATGTACATCAATGATTCTTCATGTGTCTCTTTCCCGGTATTGTCCTGGAAAATTTCCGTGGTAACTGATTAAGTTCTATTTTCTTCCAACAGGGCCCTAGAGGAGACAAAGGGCCACAGGGAGAAAGGGTAAGGAAGTAGACTGATATTCAGTTATTTGTGGTCTTTGAATAGTTATTGGAAGATCAGTAGGAAAAAGCTAAGTTTAGCTATTAGTGAGTTTAATGTTACTTTAGAAGCTTACAAGTTCAATTTAATTAAAAAGAAATCAAATTATCTATGTACCAATGCTAACCCTGGCAATATCTCACCAACCTTACTTACTAGTTATAAGTTATAACACAATAACTTATTAGTTATTGTGCCTGATCAGATGTGATTCGGTTTGGAGAGCAACCTAGCATTCCAAGTGATGGTTTGAAAAGCTTTTTTCCAACTGCACCAGTGGAAATAGTGCATGAAAATGCAGAAGAGAAAGTTCTTGCATACAGATGCTGTCTTTGAACAGGATAGGATAAAGAGAAGCTCTTTACATAAAACCCAAATAGACAAAGATCATTCTTTGAGGATCATTCAATTCCTGTATCTCCACAGGTAGCTTGGAAAAGCTCTCCTCTTGATAACTATTAATGAAAACAGATGTTATACCGTTGAAGATTTTTGTAAATGTAGCCATAGATGGAAGTGGTTGGATACTTTAATTGTGATGTCCATTCATATTGCTAATACCTGCTTTTCTAATTTGCTTCTGCATCACTGCTACTTTTTATGAAGTTGTATTCTGAAATTCATGTCCTTATCTGAGTAATGTGTGGTTATGTATTTTTTGGTATCATCTTCTGAAAATGAAAATGCCTGTTACTGATAGGAAGCTATTGAAAGTTTCTTAGGTCTTAGTATGCAGACAAACACAATGAGAGCTGCTAGGAAGAATTTATCTATGTGGTCAGCTGGATATTTGCTTTGGACTACCACTGACTAAATCTGTTTAATGCAATGAGGTACATACTTTGTTCTGAAGATAGCAAGTCTAATTCTGTTTCTTTTGAAATCTGTAAGATTTTGAATATGGGTTTTAGCTAGCTCAACTCAGATGCTTCATCTCAAATACTGTGATAGCGAACCTTGACCAGCTTTGTGCATTGAGAGTGATAGCGTGTAAAGGCAAATATTCAGGACCAAATATATGTCATTTCAAGTTGTTGTAGGAGTGGTCATTACAATGATGGCAGAGCGGTATTGTCAAATCCAGTAGAAAGGCAGTATTTTGTTGTGGTTGGATTTGCAGTTTTAGCAGCAAGTAATCTGAACCGGCACTTGACTTGTTCTGGATCGTTGTTAGTTCATGCTTTTAGGGCTGACCTGCCAGTGCTCAGTTTGTCAGGGAAATTTTTTAGCTCCCACTAACAGTGTCTGACAGGCTGTATGGGTCCACATGGGTAACCTGGTCTTCATGGCTCCAGGCTTTTGTTGCCTCTCAGTTTGGAGGTTATTAGTACAGATCCAATATTACCCTTATAAACCTTCTGAAAAATGGCACTATGGTGTATATCTGAAATGAGGAGTGGCAAGGCAGTGTGAACTCAGGATATGCTCATTTTCAGATGTTAGTCATATATTGAGATTATGCATATAGCTAGAGTGTGTGCCGTAGGTACCTGGTTGTCTTATCACTGCAGAGGCTTCATGAGCTACTTCTAATGCTCACTTTATAATCCTCTTTTTGTCTCCAGGGTCCACCAGGTCCACCAGGCAGAGATGGTGAAGATGGTCCACCAGGTCCTCCAGGCCCCCCTGGTCCTCCAGGTCTTGGCGGAGTAAGACATCCAAACTTTTTATTACTGAAATTGATAATGTCTGCTTTGTGACAACTAAAGACTAAATGAATATTTACTGGGAAACATTGACATTGAACTGGAGAGTAGAGGAAGCAATCTTGTGTGATTAGCATGAGATTAGTGGTCTGAGTTCCAATGGAACTCCTCTTAGGATCTGTATCTTCCTCAGCAGCTTTGGATTCTATATTCAACAGAGTCTTATGCATAGAAGCAAATCAACCTTGTTTATCAGCATTTAATTTGCTCCACCATAATGTGTTATGAGTTAGGAGTCAACTCAAAGCCTCTGCTGTTACATGGAAGGGCTGTTATGTTCAAGAGAAAACAACTGTACGGGAATAAGCTGGAGAAAAATACCCTTCAACTATAAGTCCATCCTTAGAAGTCAGCACCTCTCTTCCTTTAGAATTTTTTGTATCTATCTGTATTAATACTGCAGAACATTAAGTGGACAGGTATATATACACCTTCTGCAAAAGTGTCTGTTGTGTATGCTCTGAAGAACACTGGCTTTAACTCTTTGCTTGACATTAAGCAGAGAGCATGAAGACAGTGGTTTTTTTGAATGTTACAAATCCTCCTGCATGGAAGAATACACTTCCCTTCAGAGCGAATAGCTAAAATTTATTTTTGTATTAGCAAACCCCAACTGTTTTTATTAGTTTTTCTTATTTTAATATGCTAATAAAACAAGCAAGAAAAAGATTTTCAATTGTGTTGCATGTGACTTTTTTCCATTTTAGTGAAGAAGGCTAGATGTGTGTTTATCTATAAGATTAAAAAGTGAAAAATCCAGTGCAGTGTTTCTAAGCCTGCATGCTCCACAGATTTTATTGAAGCTGATGGGCCCTCTTTATCCAACACTCTGTCAGGGGTGGGCTGTAAATTTTACTTAAATAATGTGGGGAAAAAAATACACATAACTTTTGTCATTGGAAATTACACAGAATTATTTAAGAGATTCAAGAATATTTTCAATTTTTTAATGGGCATTGTACCTACATACTTTATTTTTCAGTTCACACTATTTCAGGGCCTGCATGTCACTACTTGGTAGTTAGTTGAGGCCAATGTGTGAAAGGGCCTTCCTAATGAAACCAAGTCTTTCTGGAAATAGATGAATAGAAATGTATTTGTAATAGGGTCGTGTTTACTGAGTTTTAAATGTGTTGCTTCAACATACTGTCTAGCAAATGAGATGATGGATACATGTAGAATGGGGGTTATCAATGCTTTCAAAAGTAGAAATTGTAGTAATTATTATTTCAAATTTCTGTCATCTGCAGAATTTTGCTGCTCAATATGATCCATCTAAAGCGGCTGACTTTGGCCCTGGACCTATGGCAAGTATATGATTTAACACTTGGTAACTTGCATAAACACGTATTTAAGTCTACTCCAGCTGTGTTAACTCAAGGCATAGTTTTAAAATTAGTGTTTTGATCCCATATGTAGTCAGGTTGTAAACTTATCCCTAGACAGAGCACAACATGAAGTGTCTGATAACAGTCTTAGGACTGTGTCCTCAACTTGAATATAGCACTACTATATTCTCATTGCAATTTCATGAATCAATAAGTATCAATCTGACGTCAGATAGCACATCTGCTGTGATACAGTGTACTTCATCCGTGCTGAGACAGGAGAATTCTGTTTTAGGAATGAGATCAATTGTGGAGACACTGACTACAGGAGACGTTTCTCTAGAAAGTAACTCAATATCTCAGATCCAGTCGGTGACCATTTTTTCTCCCAGAGGCAGGGAGACAGAGACAGGGGAGGTTTAGGTCAGATATTAGGAGGAAGTTTTTCACACAGAGGGAGGTGATGCACTGGAACAGGTTGCCCAAGGAGGCTGTGGATGCCCCATCACTGGAGGCATTCAAGGCCAGGCTGGATGTGGCTCTGGGCAGCCTGGTCTGGTGGTTGGTGATTCTGTACATAGCAGGGGGTTGGAACTGGATCTTTGACATTCTTTTCAACGCAGGCCGTTCTGTGGTTCTGTGATGGTTCTATGATGATTCTATGAGTCTGTGATGATTCTATGATTCTGAGCCATTGAAAGCTAGCACTTGCTATCTAGAATCTATGATTCTATGGTTGTATGACTTGCTACTACAAGGCTATTCTGAGGAGGAATCTTTGCCAATTACTGTATATGATGTTGACATCTAAAGTGTGTACTACCTCCTTACACATATTTCTAACCCTTGATGATGTTAGCAAGAATTTTTCAGTGCATATAGACAGCAAAGCTATGGGTTAAGTTTGCCCATCTCAATAACATTACAGACAGTGAGTCTGAAGGGTGGGCGAATAGCATGATGAAAGCTGCCCAGGATTATTCTGGTCAAGTATTTATTACTATTCCCCAAAATATTATAATTAATTGTTGAAATTATGTTGACCTGCATTTAGATAATAACTATAGGAATACAGGATAATTTTTAATCAAGCTTGGCTTTTGATGTCTGACAGTAATATAGGTGACTATTTGGGGTGTAACAACTCTAAGCTCTAATTTTTTACTCAGTGAGGGTTCACCAACAGAAAAAGCAGTAAATTCTACCTCCTTGAGGGATTTTTTAACTTCCTGAAATCAAGTGAAAAATGTGAGAGAGGGAAAGCAGAAAAGAAAGGGAAGCAATTATGGAATGTACCCTGTGAACAGATTCAAAGGGCTTACGCAGGATAGATAATTCAAACTGTCCAGAAACAAGTTTGGATTAGTTTCTTGACTAGAATTAGTGTATACTACTATAGCTATAGCCCTTGACTGCATTAGCTTTCCAAAATGATGTGCAAGTCTCCCAGTTCCTAGTAACACTGACATTTATGCACATTTCCTTTTTTTCTTCTCTACCTTTTTAATTATCCTTATTTCAGTATCTCTTCTTGAAAGTTGTGACGAAATTGACAGGCCCCAAAATACAGCCGTTCATAATATGTCATTATGACCTTTAAAGTCTGGAAGCTCATTCCTGAGAAAGCAATGAGTATACAGGAATGAGCCAGTGTGTGAAAGCATTTGTTAATGAGCTACAATAGAATGAGATGCCTGACCACAAGGTTCTCGGCCATAATGGCACATTCTGAATCATCTCACAGGATTTACTGGCATCAGATCTATTTGTATTTGGACTGCCTTTGCAAATTCATGCAGATCTTTTAACTTCCTCAGATTTGATTTGAATGTTCCACACTGGAAATTACCATTTTTACCAGAATTTTAGGAACATCAGAACAGGTATTATAGATGAGTTTATGTAGCAGTGTTTGGGTTTTTTTTTTAATTATTTATCTTTCCTCCCTAGGGTTTAATGGGACCTAGAGGCCCACCTGGAGCATCTGGACCTCCTGTAAGTACAGTCAATATTAATCAGTATAAGGATGTTTTTCATACCTATCAAATCACAAAGTAGCTTGTTCAAACGCTAACAAATCTCCCTTCCTGTCTAGGGTCCTCCTGGGTTTCAAGGTGTTCCTGGTGAGCCTGGTGAACCTGGTCAAACAGTAAGTACAGATTTCACACAGACGCTATTAGCATTAGGAATAACAAGCAAAGATAGGCTTGTAATGCTTAGGCCTGCTACTCCCATCCACTTACTTGTTCTTGAATGTTTGAATTGGATATTTCTCTTACAGAAGCAGAGATGAACATTCATATTCACTCCTTACAAAGTGCAAAGGCAGTTAGTGGCTAAGGACCTTGAGCTGGTTCAGTCTCCTATGTCTATACTAAAGTCAGAAACCAGGGAAGAAGCTCATCTTGCTTGACATAATGCTCAATCTATTTTTAACAGGGTCCCCAAGGTCCTCGTGGTCCCCCTGGTCCTCCAGGAAAGGCTGGTGAAGATGTAAGTCATTAAGTTTTTCATCTCTTTCAGGGCTGTGATTCAGTTCTAGCATTAAGTTGTTAAGCTAAGCATTCTATTGGCTATCACTTTTGTAATATTTGATAGAATAAATAAGCCCCTGAAATAATTATTTATTAGTACAGAAGATGCTGTCTGTTGGGGAAAAATGGATAAATTTAAAATCTCTTCAAATACATTGTTTCCTGAACACAGGGAAAGAGAAGCTCCCAAGTTCTCTGCTTACTGAAAGAAATCTTTCCTAATGTATTTTCTTTTTTAAAAAAAAGCTTTATGTTATTCTTTTATGAAATGAACTTTCCCTCTCAGTGTATTTTTACTCTACTTTTTAGGGTCACCCTGGCAAACCTGGAAGACCTGGTGAGAGGGGTGTTGCTGGTCCTCAAGTAAGTAGTGATCTACTGTCTGTTACATGAAATAGTACTCATATCAATTAAACTCTAATGGTATTTCTGAATTGCTCTCCATAAACAATCCATTAATATTCTTTACATGGATTAATCTCAGCATCTCTGTTTCATTTCTTATTTTCAAGGATATTGTGTAGTTATGTTTTTGTTTTGTTTCCTGCCCCCTCACCCCTCTTTACAAGTAACAGAGGTAAAATAGAACGCTAACATAGCTGTGATGTCACAGGTTAATTAATAAAATTTCTGGGATTCAGAACTTGGAAATGAAGGTGATTATTGTTAGAGCAGAACAGGTCTGATCCTGGGATGTTTGGGATTGCCCTGTCTCTCACTTGAGTGAGCAAGACCCCAATCTACTCGCTAACATTAATGAAAGACACGTGGTTTTTCTTTATTCTTTAACTGTATAACATGAGAGACAATCCTTCGTGCTCTGTGTCTTTTTAGGGTGCTCGTGGCTTCCCTGGAACTCCTGGTCTGCCTGGCTTTAAGGGAATTAGGGTGAGTATGTGTGTATTTCTTCCCTGAATAGTTAACTGACAGCACTTCAAGATACTGAAAACCCCGGAAGATCCCCTCGTAGTTAAAAGTATGTATTCTAAATGCATTAATATCTTTGAAGTTTTGAATATTTCCTATCAAAAGAGAATGACAGTTTGTGTATAGCATTTAGTCAGAAAGTATATACTTAACATTTAATTTTCTACTCAATATAGGGACACAATGGTCTGGATGGTCAAAAGGGACAACCTGGTACTCCTGGCACCAAGGTAAACTTAACATCTGAAAATGCAGGATGCATTTGTAGCTCTTTCTGAAGAAATATGTATGAAATCTTCTCCAATTGATCTTCAGTGTTGTCACTGAATATTGCCCAGCTGCAATAATCTGGAAGTCAGCAGATCATGCGGACAAATAGATGCAACTCAAGATGAGAAGTCATGTTAGGGCCTTTTTCTTGAGTCCTCAGTCAAGTAATAACTGTTAATGAGTGAGAGCAGCAGAACTGGGTTCCTAATAATTGCCTTTATATAGACTGTAGTTGGAGGTGTTTTCTCTAAAGCACATTAAAATGAGAATCTAATTTGTCTAGAAAGCTCTGCTGTGTGATACATGCTTTAGTGTAAGGCTTTCTGCTAAAACTTTGGATAAATGCAGTGCTCTCATGAGTTAATGCTACTCGATTTTCAGACTTCTTCCTTTTTGTCTTCCTCAGCTTAGTATGTGTTAGAACACTGTGCTTAAGAAAGCTTTCCTTAAACGTGATCTAGAAACATTTAGTAAGCTCTTCCTCTCAATTTCTTTATCACTCCCATTTCAGTGCCTATTAGCAGTGTTCTTAAAAAAACACTACTGCTTTTTTGGGTTGTAGGAAACTTTAATGTTGGTGATTCATTCACAGTAGGTCTGCATTCAAAAACTTCTAATGTAACAATGTAAGGGTCAAATTCTAATCCTCATTGTTGCTTGTTTACAAGAGCTTAGCACTACTTGCTTATAGTTATTAACTGTACCATGGTATTTTCCAATATCACTGCAACTTGTTAAGCTCCAGAAAAAGTTTGGTAATGAGACAGATACCAAGCACTCTGTCCAATCCTGGGAGACTAAAAGCAGATGAAGTAAATAATTAAATGAAGGAACAGTTATTAGGAATGCTAGTTGAAGTGAAAACACAAGTATGATGTTTGATTTAATTGTGATTAAGGCAAAAACTTCTACATTTTGCAGCATTTAAGGCTTGGAGCTTTCAAATATGCTCAGGATTCTGGTGCCCTGGAACAGACTTTGTCACTATAGGCCAGTCTAGACAAACTGTGAGCTTACTGAGAACTCCTAATATTAAGGGAGATAAGTCATGTTCTAGTGGTTTCACTCGTATCAGTACCATTGGTCATAAGAATTTAACTCAGATACTGCTGTCTTATTTTTAGTCATTTGACAGCACAGATTAGGAATTTTGTCACCTTAACCTAAAGCAAAAGAAATTATTTTCTTTCTCTAGCTAAAAAAAAAAAAAGTTGCAGTTTGATCAGAATTGGTAGTTGACAGTTCTCTAGTCCTATCTCTTAGGTGTGTGCTACAGTCCAAATATAGAATGAAGAAAGGGAGTAAAGACAGCTGAGATTGGCAAGTGAATCAATTTGCTCCAAGCCTTCTCTTTTAGGAGGATTTCAGCTGGCTTTGCTCCAGTATATAATGGGACAGTCACAGCCTCTACACCATTAGGAGCCCATGTTCCATTATTCTATACAGTGTATGAGTGCTACAGCAGACAAGAACAGTAGGATACAGCAACTGAATATTTCCCCTTTAGCTGGCTTTGTGCTGTCAGTCCAAGGAATCCTTTGAGTAACTTAAGCATGGTAATTTTTTCTTTCATAGGGAGAACCTGGTGCCCCTGGTGAAAATGGTACCCCAGGACAACCTGTAAGTATTTAGTGCTGCTGTGGAAAATCTGATAGGTGTGGCTTAGCCAGCATTTTGGCCAATTATTTTCATCAGTGGCAGTCCAGCTGGCTAGATGCTCTAATGTAATAATACATTAATATTTCAAACAGAATTGTTTGGTTGCAATCCACTTTGCATAGAGACTTAGCAAGTGAAATAACTCTGTATGTTTGTTTAGTAGACAGATCTAAATGAAGTAATTTCTCTTTCAGGGTGCTCGTGGTCTCCCTGGTGAGAGAGGAAGAGTAGGCGCCCCTGGTCCAGCTGTAAGTGGCTTCCCAGCTGTCCATTGGTACCAAAGATCAGCCCCTTACTGTGGCTGTCTCTGATCGTTGGCTGTTGCCTGTCTCTACTCACTGTGTTCTCTGCTTACAGGGTGCTCGTGGGAGTGATGGCAGCGCTGGCCCCACTGGACCTGCAGTAAGTTCCAGTCTTGATCTTTAACAGCTTAGCTCTGTTAGGCCTTATGCCCATCTTTCCATTTATAGAGAACTTTTCAGGCCTCAAAGAAGTTGATTGTGTGGGTATTTTGTTGCTTTATAGGTTGCCACAAAAAGCATTAAAAAACTGTAAGTTCTTTGCAGACAATGTGCTGTGATCCTTGGGATTTATTGTAAACCCATCTATATCTATAGCACAAAATATTCTCTCATTTACACTGATGAATTCATCATAGTAAAAGAGCTGGTGAACAAAATCCTTATTTGCACCAGTCTAACAGAAGAATTCTCCTCCCAAAATTAAAGATTATACCTTTTAAAAGGTAGCTTTAATGCATATGTTGCAAATGGCTAATATTGCATATATTCTAAAGCATTACATTCATTCTATGACATGAGTTTGCACCTGCAGTACAGATTTACCCTTTTTACAGGAGTTAGTGTTGCTGTTGCACCCCACTGATTTTAGTAAACCTTGTTTATTTCAGTGGCATAAATGTGTGTACAAGCATATAGTTTCAAAGCTGTAAAAAATTAAAAAAAAAATTAAAAAATCAGAAATAGGCCAGAATAGCTTTTCCTTCTAGCCTTCAAAATGTACGTCAGTGATGCAGCCATACGTGATCCTGTCAACTTTACCAAAAGTTGATTCTAATGCTCCTCATCACAGCAAACATCTGCCATCCTTCAGCAGAATAGGAACGTTAGCAGAATTATGAATTTCACTCCAGTCCTGCTATATAGGGCATTCTAAAATATACATGATTGAGCATTTAAAATGCAGTCACATAGATACCTTAGCCCAGATCTGATGTTATACTCTGTAGAAGATCCAAACTGCTTTAGCTATGTTGAAGGTAAATGAAGTACCCTAGGAAAAATAATCTGATGCTGCTCTGATTGAACAGCAATAGAAACTTGTATTGGGTTTTGGTGTCCATACCATAAAGTTATTTTGCTTAGGTCTTCATGTTGCAAGCATTCTGTAAAGGATTTTTTCCTTTTAAGCAAGAACAAAAATACTGTTATTCTCCTTTGCCTCTGGGAATTTAAAATGTAAGAAGAGTCACCATAATAGAAATTCAGAACATTTATATTTTCATAGGTATTTTACAGAGCATTTAATCTTTTTTCTTTGCTTCTGCAAAACCAGTGAGAATGCCACGTACCCAGTTATCGAATGCCAGAAGCCAATTCCTCTTCACTTTGTAGGCTGACCTATTTTATTCCCTTGGATCCATGTAGCAGTTCTACAATAGGTATTAGCTCACAAAAGCAGATATCAATCCCCAGTAGCTATGAATGAGTTTCATGTTTTATTAAACATCAAAGAAAAACTATCCGTTTGTAGTACTATGTATTAAAGGCTAACAGGCAATGAATCCATTAATGTCTTTTCTCTGTTGGTGTCTGAGTACTGTATGCTAAGAAGCTTGTCCTATCATAAAAATAAATCTCATAGCAATCACTAGATACAGTAGCCTTGGCAAGCTGAAATGCTGCTGCTTTTGCCATAGAAGAGGTTTAAGCACACTAACTGCCTCAAACTGTATATTTCTGGGTATGAATCAAGATTTCTAATTCATTCATATTTTATAAGCAACCCCTATCTTCATTAGCTGTTAATTGATACAATTTCTTGAATCCATGGACATTCTTAATGACCTTAATATAAGTTGGGTCAAGCACTGGGTTGCAAAGAGATGCAGAGATCTTACCAGTTCTCTTCTCTTGTGTGAAGAAGGAAAAACGCTATCTGCAAGAATGGACTCTTGCAGTAGATCAGACCAATTACTGGTGTGAAAGTGCACACAGTCATCCCTATACTGTAAATGTGTTAGAAATGGCCACTCTAAAACCAGCATTTGCAGGGTGCAGCACTCCTCCTCATCTGTTTTGGGACAATACAGCAAGACATCTTGTCTTGCAGATACCTGTCTGTCTAGGATGCCTATCCTCTGTTTTTTCTTTCTCAGGTGCTTGGCTTCATTGCTTAACTTGTGTTTTTGCAGATACACTACAAATGTTTTTTCTGCATTGACCTTACTCTCAACTGTTTGTAGTGAACCAAACCTGTCAGTTTAGAGCTGCAAAAGGCAAATAATATTTCAGTGTGCAGAAATGTCTAAGTAAATGTGCTTTTTTAAAATTTGTTTATTTCAGCAAAATTCTTGTCATCATTGAAAGCCTTTGCTCAAATGCTTCCCTTTGGTTTCATAGGGCCCCATTGGTGCTGCTGGTCCTCCAGGCTTCCCAGGTGCTCCTGGTGCTAAGGTATGAATGTCTGCTTATGCAGCTGCATTTGACAGTTAATACAAAATGTGGTAACTAGTATTGTTAGGCAGCAGAAATCACCTGATGTGGTAGTACCATCTTGTCAGCTACAGGTCAGAGTGAGGAAGAATTCCAACAGTATTTGGAGGAATATTTATATGAATGCTGATATAGTTATTAGTTATTCCACAGCTGATACACACGCACACACATTGAAGAGTTCACGTGTTATTTAAAACCGTATAATATCACTGGAAGAAGTAACCTGCTTTGGGATCCAGGGCGCGATCTATTCCAGAAGTTGGCTGTATTGTCTTGTATTTTGGATGTACATCTTCATCTGTCACACATATAGAAAAGATCAGGAGGCCAGCATAGCCAGCAAATCATGTCTGGAAGCTATGGTTGAGTTAGGAGGGAGCTGATTCAAATAATAGATGCTATGCAGGTGTAACCTTATTTTTCACATCTTACATGCTGTGGTTGTATACACCTTTGAAAGGTGATGTAGATCATGACAAATAAACGAAGTAGCAGTTTACATCACTTGACATCAGAAGAGGAGGGTAAAGAAGCTTTAGTTGTGTATCAGGCTCCTTCCAACCTGAGTTCTTGAAATTGATGGAGAAATTAGATGCAGTGATGAAACTGTATTTAAACTTTTCAGGTTTTGGGCAGTATCATTTCCTTCTTGTCTGATTCTTGGCTGATCTTCATGATTCAGTTCCATAATAGATTTGGTGAATGCAAGTTTCTGAGATTGGTATCAAGAATCTTTTTCCTGCTATTTACACCACTGTGAGCAGTAACCTGCAGTTCTCTGACCAGGTGCAATTTGCATCCATGCAAACAACAGCTTATGTACAAGATAACTGTCAATTAGGGCTCCTACACATTGAGACATCTTATGCCACTGCTGGAGACTCATCATTGTAAAGAAGACTGGAATCTTAATTCTAATTTTGTAGGTTAGCTTTCTGTAATAATGCAGATATGCTGATCATCTGTTGTTCCATGTTGTCCATCAGCTTTGATGGGATCTACTTATTTTTACCAGCTTCAGTGCCTTTAAATTCCAGTAAAGGCTTTCAGCCTCTTGTTCCCCTGGACTCTGAAACAGGAACCTATATTGGATTGTCTTACAATGTCAGGCTAATTAAATTACTTTGCAATTGCCCTAACACTCTGGATACTGATACAGAGCTTTACCCTTTTCTCAAACAGGGTGAAATTGGACCTGCTGGTAATGTTGGCCCTACTGGTCCTGCTGGTCCAAGAGGAGAGATTGGACTTCCTGGTTCCAGTGGTCCTGTTGGCCCTCCTGTGAGTATCTTGCCAGTCTTTATCTGTTGTCAGATGGATGCATTTGAGACTTTGAATTAACCAGTATAATTTTTTTCTGCCTCAATAGGGCAACCCTGGTGCTAATGGTCTTCCTGGGGCTAAAGGTGCAGCTGTAAGTATAGCCATGTGCATACTTATTTGCTTTAGGAAAAAAAAAAACACACGACATTTCAGTTAATGCATCAGAAAAGATAATGAACTTACAATAAGTTTTCTCTGTGTTGAACAGGGTCTTCCTGGTGTTGCTGGTGCTCCTGGTCTGCCCGGTCCCCGTGGTATTCCTGGTCCTCCTGGCCCTGCTGGTCCAAGTGGTGCTAGGGGACTTGTTGTAAGTGACTGTCTCCTGCATGTCTTCATTTGAAAACTGGACACAGCATCTATCATTGTGAAATATTTCTTCCAGATATGTCTCTACATCTAATGCAGACATTTCTGTTGCTTCAGTATAATTAAGCGTCTTAGCTTGTTTCTGTCTCTCGCTGAGACTGAAGAGGTTTACTTTGTACTCACTTTGGCTGCAAGAACTGTTAAGCTCTGACCCTCTTGATGGTATCAACAGAGATGTAATAGCAGTCTCACAATCAGACCCTCAAGAGCTATCCTTAGTACAGGAACCAGCCCAAAGTGTTTCTTAGTTGAAGTACTGTAATTTCTAAATAATCTTCAACATGTTTTTTTTCATGCCCATTAAGCCTAAAGTACAGCTACATTAACTGACTATGTCAGAGTAGAGTCAGGCATGACACTGGGTGATTAAAGATATTTTTGATTCATGAAAATGTTGTACAGGTAAGATTTATAGATAGAGAGAATTTCAGAATGGTGCTTAATCCTAGGATCTCTTTTTATGTTGGACTCTAGGGTGAACCAGGCCCTGCTGGTGCCAAGGGAGAAAGTGGTAACAAGGGTGAGCCTGTAAGTATGGCAATTTGTGAGTGTTGTTTCAGTGAATAGAGTTTCATAGTACCTATAGCTCAGCATCTGATTTATTCTTTTCGTCTTTTGGCTGACATAGGGTGCTGCTGGCCCCCCTGGCCCTCCTGGTCCAAGTGGTGAGGAAGGCAAGAGAGGCAGCAACGGTGAACCTGGCTCTGCTGGTCCCCCTGGCCCTGCTGGTCTAAGAGTAAGTTTTCTTTTCATGTTCCAGAAGTAAAAGCAAAAAGGAAAGAAGAAATAAAGCTGTATTCACAAAGGGAAATTGAATAATTATAAATGACTAAATTTGTGTTAATGCAACTAGACAAAGGCCATTTTGCTATTCTGAGCCTTTTGATTTGTTGGGACCAACCCTATTTTTGCTTGCATTAATGCTGTTTATTATCTTATCCCTGAATTAATTATAGGTTGCTTGATAGTGTTATCCATTGATTAAAATTTAGAGAATGAACACTGATTTTGCTATAAAGCTTCATAGTGAGACATAAGTGCTTGAAAGAAATAGTCAGCTCACTTGTAATGTGAGAGAAGTTTAAACCCGGTATCTTCAAGGGTGTCTGTAGTATGCTTATCACTGGGCCAGGAAACAACACAATGGCTTTCAGGAGGCACGTAGCTTTGTGCAGGTCCCTTTTTCACTGGAAGAGGCTAGGAAAAAAGGCAATGCTTTCATCAGTTTTTTTTATGGTGGAAGTAAGAATTCATTATTGCACCTTGCATAGGTTGTACAGAGTCCAAGAGAAGCTAGTAACACTGCAGAGATGTGCAGTTGAAACACCTGCCAGGTTGGTGATCCCAGCTGTTGGCCAGACCCGCTGTTAAGATTGTGCTAAACACTGAAAATGCTCTCATAGAAGCAGATTAGAGTTTAGAGAAATAGAAGGGAAATCAGAGGGGAGAGGGATTTCTTTCACAATATGCATTTGCACTTATATTTAGCAGACTTTCTTGAAAAGCTGAAAGTTAGCTGGCACTCCTCCTCACAGGAACATATTTTTCTTTCCCTTTTTAAATTTGATTTGTATTCACTTGTAGGGTGTGCCTGGATCTCGTGGTCTCCCTGGAGCTGATGGCAGAGCTGGTGTCATGGTAAGGCTTATCTGAGTCATTTCTAAACCATCTTCTTTTACATACAAATGTGTGATACTTTTTGCTACCTCTTTCTACTTTTATTTACTTCTTCTGTTATTAGGGACCTGCTGGTAACCGTGGTGCTAGTGGTCCTGTTGGTGCTAAGGGTCCTAATGGTGATGCTGGCCGTCCTGGTGAGCCTGGTCTTATGGGTCCAAGAGTAAGTTTGAACTGTGCAAAAAGAAAACTACTTGCATTTTGTGGATAAAATTATTCAGAAATTCAATTGCAGGAAGTCTATTCATGCCACAATTAAACTATTTCTATCAGCCCACTGAAAAAACATCCGTGAAGAAATAATTAAGCAGCATCAAAATGTTTATTGAAATTCATTTCTTTAGTATGTGGTAGCATCTAATAGCCTTGGTCGTGGAGCAGCATTCTCTTGTACTGGATATTCCACTGACTTGTTCTGCTTGTTATTATTTACAGAATGGAACCATTAAGATCACAGTTGAGGTGTATATCTCCTCAGTGATATGAGATGACTGATCTCAATTATTTCAATTTATTTTGTTAATGATTTCACTGAAAACAGCCATCCACTTTAGTGGTTCTGGATCCACCTGGATTATGTACATGTCAGTGACTTTTGTCCTTTTAATCTTTTTACCCTTTGTACCCACCTTTCATGAAAAGAGTGTTTTCACTGAATTTGTAAACTACTGAGTGTCTGCAAACTTTTTGCTAATGTAGAGCCTAAATGAGTTTATCTAAGCAAAATACACTAACCTCATTTTTTGTGTGCATGGAAGCACACACCACCAAATTAAACTTCAGTTTAGATGAGATGTAAACTTGATAGAACATACAGTCCCATTTATGTGCATGCAAGCACATGCATGAATTTGTTTTAAAAAAAAAAAAAAAAAAAAGTGGCTTAAATGTTGGCTGGTTTGATTGCCTTCTGAAAACATGAAACCTTTCCTTTCTCAGGGTCTCCCAGGTCAACCTGGAAGCCCAGGTCCTGCTGGCAAAGAAGGTCCTGTTGTAAGTACTCTGGTTTTAATTGCTTCCCCAGTGCATACAAAGCATCAATGAAGATTTAAGAAGCAGAAATCTGTACTCTAATACAGCTGCTCAAAACCAGTGAGACTCTACTGCTCAATTACTCAGATGTGTGAAAAGACTTTCCATTCATTTCTGTGGGTCTTAGATGGGGTCTTTGTCCTGGAAGGGGAAGAAAAAATACGGAGCTCTGTAAAAAGAAGAAAAAGGGAGGAATGCAGGTGCATGTGATATATGATCAGTGCTTAAAAGTTAAATGACAGTGACTTTCTGTGAGTACACTTTTCTCCACTAGTCATTTCATAGGTGTGTTTTCTTTTTCTAGGGTTTCCCTGGAGCAGATGGTAGGGTTGGGCCCATCGGTCCAGCTGGTAATAGAGGTGAACCTGGCAACATTGGATTCCCTGGACCAAAAGGTCCCACTGTAAGTACAGTAGAGAAAGTTTCTGTTTCTATTTTCAGACTAAGTTGTAGGTCCCCAACTCTTAACAGCCAAATGCATCTGCATATTCCTGTACTATATTGAATGGCATTTGCTCACTTTCAAGAGTTCTTTCTTAAATTGCTTCCCAATTATCTAAAATACAGATAAATAGTAATATACTTAATTGGGAATGCTTGGACTCTGAAGTGACAAGATTAATAATGTCTGTATTATCATTTTCTTTGTGTCCATTTGTTCATTTCTGTATATACAATTCAGTAAAAGTTCTGTGGAAGTTGGACATGAAATCTCTGTCTTTGGAGCACAATCCAAATCTCGTTCACTTTAGAAGAAAAGCTACCATCAAGTTTCACTGAGGCTCTTGATATGACCCACAGATGAAACAGATAATAGTTTTCCCCAGATGTGTGGTGTTGCTGTGCACACGTGCACACATAGGTATTAGTGTATTACATACAAAACTGCACAGCATATCAGGAGCTTGCATTACTTTCTCAAAAATACTCAAATGGAGTTTGGAAAAGACAAAATACTTATTTGCATTATTGCTCTTCTCTGATTCAGCAAGCCAGATGCAGTTTGTGGCTTTTTAAATTAATGTTACAATGAATCCTTCATCAGGGAAGTATCACCTTCTATCCAGTAGTATAATCTGATTAACTTCTTTTTTCTTTTTTTTTCTCTTTGACCTTCAGGGTGAACCTGGCAAACCTGGTGAAAAAGGCAATGTTGGTCTTGCTGGCCCACGGGTATGTGAATATGTCTTCTTTATCAACCTCCAGAGAGAAAAATGTAGATTTTCAAGGCCTCTTTTATAAGATAGCATTGTCTTGTAAAAGCATGAAGGGGTGACGAAACAGGAGAGTACTTTGGAATGCATTCACATAGCTTAGTGTCAGTGGAGACTGTTACTTGAAGATTAATGTTAGTGCAAATGAAAATTACTCCTGTTAGATATGGATTAGGTAATTAATTATTGGGTATTAGCTTCCTATAAAAAAAGGAATAAATAGCAATTCCTTTGTAAATTTTTGTGGAGAGTGTATAGCTTCTATGTTACTTTGTAAATTTTCAGCACTTTCCTACTGATAAATGGAAGATTTTGTAAATCTCAACTAAGGAATCAAATAACTGATCTGTTCTGGGAAAAAATGCCACCTATTTGCCGGATTTCTGTATCTGTAATTCCAAAGGATTTTTTGTAAGGATAAATGCACTGCAATAACATAAAATTACCTATTGTAATTTAGTTTTGTAAGCATCTGTATTACCTTCTGATAGTGAAGCTCTTATGAGCAAATGGGTAAGTTGAAGAAGCATAGGGCTTCAACTTAAATGTAGCAGTATGAGTTCAAAATAAGCAACCAGAGACCTTTGGTTTTTGCACAGAAGCACTTTAGACAGATACTACTCATAACAAATAAAAACTTTGATAACCGCTTTCTGCTTGAACATATTTAGGGTGCTCCTGGTCCTGAGGGAAACAACGGTGCTCAAGGTCCTCCTGGTGTCACCGTAAGTAACAGCCTCCACACAAATCCAATTTGTGATTTATTTTTCATCACTGTGACTTCTGATTTTTCAAATTCATTTTCTTCTATCCAGGGCAACCAAGGTGCAAAGGGTGAAACAGGTCCTGCTGGCCCTCCAGGCTTCCAGGTAAGAAGCTATGTGCTCTGCCCTACTTTACCTAGTTTTTTTTACAAAGCATAAAGTTCTTCTGCCTTAACTTTATTTGCATCCTTGTTTCTTTACACTTAGGGTCTGCCAGGTCCCTCTGGTCCAGCTGGTGAAGCTGGCAAACCAGGCGAAAGGGTGAGTAGCAGATACAGTACTGCTCAAGTAAAGGCATGTATTGCATAAGCCTTTTGTTAACAACTGTGGTGAAGCAAGAGTCCATTGAATCCATTTGCCAAAATGGATCTGTGTTATATGCAGAGTTTAATAATCCCTTTTGTTAAAATTAGCCACAAATGGAGAAGGTCCTTTGGCACTTGGAGCATACTTCCTTTTTTAAAAGTTCCTTTATGAAAAGGAAAAAAAGCAGTCCTTTGCTTTTGAGGCCATAAACAACAATAAAACATCCCCCATAAAAGACAAGCCAGCACATGAAGAACGTTGTATTCCAGATTTCCTTTGAAACAGGCAAGGTTCAATCTAACCAGCATTACTCCAGGTGCATGCCTTTGCTCATCTGCTGAAGTTCAGTGGGTTTACATGGCATACAATGGAGATAACTTGAGATAATTCAGGCACCAGATTCTGCACAGTTAGTGTGTGATGGAACCTGGAAATTGTGCATCCTGTGCATCGTATCAGTCGTTTAAGTTGGTAGTTAATCATTCTGTGATTCAGTATGAAAGTTTGCACTGCATGTGCCTGACCAAAGAGCTTGAAATTGAGTAACTAACTCCCTTCAGATGAGAAGTGCATCTCTTAGCATGTGTGCTTTGAGATTTTGTGCAGTTATATGAAAACAGTTTATCTATCTAAAAAACTGGTTTTAGTCTGAAGATTTTTCAACATACTGCTGAAATTTGAGAAGCATTTCTATTTACTGCTAATTAACAAAGTTCAAAAGTTCAATGTGAGCTAAGTCTGCTCTTGAAATAAACTTCATCAATCCATCTCTTCTCTTCTAGGGTCTCCATGGTGAATTTGGTGTCCCTGGTCCTGCTGGCCCACGGGTGAGTGACTCATCTGAAATCTAGTAGACACTTGTCTTCATGCAGTGTTTAGAATTAGTATGAACTGTATGCACTTACAAGTTTCTCAAGACAAGCTACTTTTCTCAAGTACAGAATATCATGTATTGCAGCAGACTGCCTGGAAGCAGAATTTTTTATGCTCTTTCTGCTTGTCAGGATATACCTGATCACACCATACAATAGTTGCCATTGTTAGTAAACTTCTAGATAAGGAATACAAGTACTGCACAAGTAATGATGTCCTGATGATCTGGTTAAATACATTTTTTATGTTAACTTAGCAGCGGGAATATGGGTGACAAAAAATCCTACAGTGTTGCAGTGAGGCTTAGTGCATATGAGAATTTTAACTCCATTGTCATCTACCCAAAGGGGTAGATTTATGAGCCTCACCAATTTTGTTATACCACCCTTGCTAGCCAGCTTCTGCCTCCCATGTGGTGGTGTTGTGAATGAAAGGTAGGCTGAGTCCAGAGCCTGGAATAGTCATTAGAAAATACTGCCCTCAGCTCTCTTCACTCCTGAACTGTGAAAAAAGGGCTGTAGAGAGCCTTCACAGAGCAATAGGGAGTCAGCTCTCACATTCCAGTTTATAAAACGCTCAATTATTTATTTGCTTTCTGAATCTTTATAAAAAGTTGATATTTAAACTATTCTTCCTCTTTTCTCTCACTATAAGCATTCTGCCTTCCTGACTGAATGTACTTGTGAGTGACAAATACTCCCATTCATTCTTACGTCAGTCAGCTGTGAGGCTGTTAGTAACCATGTCTTCTTTAAAATTTCATTTTGCTAATCTATCCAACCCAAGCTCCCTTCATCATTGTAGCAGCAGTTAACTGTCTTTGCTCTAGCTTGATGTTAAGCATTGTGTACTCATCTGATTGTATTTCATTCAGTATTCCAAATTAGGTCTTAGCAATGTTCAGTATAACAGAATTAATACTTCCTAAAAATTCCACAGTGCTTGCATGAGGTCTCACTGGTGCTTTTCAGAGTGTGCCATCTCTCCTTGAGTCAGTTATTTGATCGCATTACAGTTGTTGCTCTAACCCCCACATTCTCTCATGTAACTGAAAATTTCCATTATGCCCTATCAGATTACTCACTGCTTTTCAGCTTGATTACGCTGGGATAATCCAAGATTTCTTTGTTAGTGAAAATCATATAACTACAGTTGATAATCTACTGAATCTGAGCTCAGTTTCTGGCTATTTCCAGTTAATATCTTCTTTGAAATGTATCCTTATTCCTGTTAGAATGTTCAGGTCACATTAGTAGTTTTTAGCTGTCACCTTTATTTCCTGGTGGCACTTGCCACTGTAAAACCAATTATTTGCCAATTTCTGTGGCCCTCATTTCTCTAGGATCCATTGTCTGACCTGATTGGTACTTTGCTTTATTTGTGTCAAAAGCTAAAGCCAGTTTTTCCCACCAATTTAATGTGCATAATTCTGATATTAATAATGGTTTGTTCAGCTAAAAATGCATCATAGTGTCACTGCTACCTACAGAACAATTAAAGGAAAAACTCAAATCAAACTGTCTCTCACAGGGTGAGCGTGGTCTTCCTGGTGAAAGTGGTGCTGTTGGTCCTGCTGGTCCTATTGGAAGCCGTGGTCCATCTGGCCCACCAGGCCCTGATGGTAACAAGGTATGTCTTCTCCAGCTACCACTGCCTCACTACTGAATTGCAGATGAGGGCAGTCAGAAACCTTCTTTACTCAGTATAAATGGTTGCTGCTAACAGGTAATCCACACACATCATAGGTACTGGGCCCTTTCTTCAAGTAGTAAATCCCTGTAACAGCTACTCCACACTAATATGGATTTTTTTTGTTTTATCACTGATGAGAGGGAATATGTTACTCTGAGATTTTGGCTAAAATTCATACTAGCTTGTTTATACCCTCCTGGGGAATGACATTCTTGTGTCTGGTAAGCAGTATTTTCCCAAAAACATTAGCATGATCTTCTGCATGGTCTTCTGCCAAATTAAGTGTGGGGCTCAATTTACAAGATCTTCATATGCAGTCTTGCCATGAAGGTTTAGTTTGGAATATGGGACCACAAATCAGAGAGTTGATGTCCAGCGTCTTCACTGAAAAGTTGCAGATGCACAATAGCTAGAGACCAAGTGCTACTACTCAGTATATTTACAAGCCAATAGAATATGAGCTTATAAGTAACGGAAAAATTGTGTTCCATATTGCAGTATTGTTCCATATTTCACCATTCTTACACAATAACCTGTTGCTGCTAGGGTGAGCCTGGTAACGTCGGTCCTGCTGGTGCTCCTGGTCCTGCTGGGCCTGGTGGAATCCCAGGAGAGAGAGGTGTTGCAGGTATTCCAGGAGGCAAGGGTGAGAAGGTAAGGCTGATGCTCTCTGTGTTATATATACACAGGTCTGGGAGATGCTTGAATTTCACTAACTGAAAAAAATGCAGGTTACCCAAATACAATTTCTGTTTGCTGTGAAATTGTATTTCATGGTGTCTCATTAGTTCTCAGTAAGTAAAGGTTTTGTTGGTCCAACAGAGTGGCAATATTTTGAGGTACAAAAACTGCATTTTGATCTTTGCTCAGCATTTGGAATTGGTTTAAGTGGCAGGTAGGGCTTCACAGGGTTGAGTAACAATGAGCTTACCTTTATGAAAGCAGTGTTAAATCTGAATACAAGCTTTACAGCAGGAATGGGCATATGGATCATGAAGAACTGAGTGTCATCTGCTCAAATCCATAACAGCTCTACTCTGATCTCTGATGCAGTACGTAAGATATATAAATAAATGGCTTAGTGAGAAGCGTTGGTGGTAGGTGGGCAGTTGGACTGGATGATCTTGTAGTTCTTTTCCAACCTTGGCAATTCTATGAAATTACAAAAAATTTTTGATTGTATTGGATGCATGTAATTAAAGCAGAAAACTTCAGCCAGTGCAAGCACTCACACGGAACCAGACTTCACAGTTTTGTGTAAATCCTGCTGCAAACTCTGATTTATTCATATAATTATCTATAAAATGGATTTTTACCTTGTTAGGTACACTTTATTCCAAGTTCTCCTCAGTTCATTATTTAAACTCTAAACTGAGATTTCCATACCTTTAATTGTTTAGACTAAAAAATCTACAACTGCATTTATGCTACATGACTATAAGGAAATTAAGATGAAAATTGCTTGCAACTTTTAATAAAAACTATGTACAGGCATGCAGATTAATGCAGAAGAGTAGGATTTCTTCAAAAAGAAGAGAGAACAGAGTGCTAGTCTGAATTATTGACACTACCAATGACCTAGATACTATTTTTGTTACATAAAACATGGCCTTTTACTTGACCACTCACGACCTCATTTTTTTTTATCAGTTCTTTTCTTGCTTCAAATAGAAGACATAACATAAATCCCTAGGAAGATTTTTACATTTGGTTCTTTTTGTGACCAAAAGAAAAGGGGTTTTGAGGTAGTATTTACGTTCACCATTTGGAACAGACATCTTAATTTTGAATTTTTAATTCTTGTTACCTGGAAGAAAATTAATAGGTTTATATATAGAATAAAGTAATAATTCTGTCAAGTCACACCAGTCCTTTTTGTCTACACGTTTTGTCTTTGTGAGTAGGTACGTATTCAGCAATAAGAATTAGATAAGTCAAAGTCCATTCCCAAACCAAAACCTGCATAGGTATCTCTGTAGAATGTGTGCATTCAGAAAACAGCTCAGGCCTTCTTTCTGAGAAACTGTTTTGTACATTACTGAGATAATGCTTGCTTCCTCTATGTATTCATTTTAGGGTGCCCCAGGTCTGAGAGGTGATGCTGGTGCAACAGGAAGAGATGGTGCCCGTGTAAGTATCTTTTGCTTCTACTTGAGTTTACTTGGATGCACCTGACTACATAAGTGATTAAAAATTATATTTATGGCTTTTATTTTCCAGCGTATTCAGTTTCCTCTAACAACTGCTTGCTTTTGATGCAAGTCAGTATGACTCTGTAGTCCCTTGTTCAGGGATGTTTGAATTTGAGGAGTGAGAGAGAAGCAATCACTCTTCATGCATGAAAGCAGAGATATGACATTGGCAGAGATCACTATTTCATAGACAGTTGTCAGTGTGATGTCCTCTGGAACTTTATGGGCCCAGCCCATAAAGCTAATTGTAAAGGCAGCCTGCAAAGCCACACAACATTAATTTGGCATTTTGGCAGTTTGTGCATGATTTCAAATTTTGGGAGGAAAGTAACAACATAGAATTTCAAGGACACCAGGTTATGTAAAATATATTAAGAGTAACTGAGATAAAGTCACATGCCTATCTCCTGGAAAAAAAAGCAAAAAAATGTATTTGGTGACTCTTGCTTACATTTTGTTAGAAATGATGTCCTTCTCTTAACCTGTAGGGTCTCCCTGGTGCTATTGGTGCTCCTGGCCCTGCTGGTGGTGCTGGTGATCGGGTAAGTTTGCTCTTTGAATGAAAGTGTGTCTTTTTTTATAGTTTGCCCACAGTATGAATATTTAAGAGGAAGACTCTAGTCTACTAGAAAACAATTCCATCTTGTTAGGGTGCACAAGTTTTGCAAGTTCTCACATTGTGTGAAACAAATGTTATGGGGAGTTTCCCATTGTACCCCATACCTTTTCTTAAAAGGGCAGGGAATGGATGTACATCTATATGGCAGTGGTTTTTACAGAAAATCCTCAGATTCGAGCTTTGTCTGAATTCTTTCTGATTGAGGCTATGATCCTCCTCACACTGGAAAGAGGTTCTGATATGGTGTCAAACAACAACACATTAGCTCCTAATGACTCGTCATCCTGTCCAAGTATCATTAGAAATTATTCTTAACATGGGGTAGATTAAAACAGAGACATGGGGAGATAGAGTGTATGCATCAATACCACAAGATCTGTTTTGACATGTGTGGCCTTCCCCCATATAATGTAATGTCTCCTGTCTGTTTCAGGGTGAAGGAGGTCCTGCTGGTCCCGCTGGTCCTGCTGGTGCCCGTGGTATTCCTGTAAGAAGCAATTCCTTCAATTATTTCATCATGTCAAAGACATGATATTCACAAAAATGCCCTTTTAAAGCCAATTCCAACTAGTCCTCATTGTCTTCTCTTTAGGGTGAACGTGGTGAGCCTGGTCCTGTAGGTCCTAGTGGATTTGCTGGACCTCCTGTGAGTACTGTTTTCACTTTCCTCTTATTGATGCCACACCATTCCTTTACTTTCTTAGCTTACTTTTTCAACTCCTTGTTCTTTGTGTTTCTTTTCTGCCTATAGGGTGCAGCTGGTCAGCCAGGTGCTAAAGGCGAGCGTGGCCCTAAGGGACCAAAGGGTGAAACTGGACCAACAGGTGCTATTGGGCCAATTGGTGCTTCTGGACCACCAGTAAGTGAACTGTATCTTGGTAAAATGGTTTTTAACTGTGCTATGCAAGCAATATGCTAACCTGAAGGCCTTGAATTTTGAAAAGGTAATTAAAAGAAAACAAACAAACAAACAAAAAACCCAGAAATTCAAATTAGGCTGTGAGGAAAGTCAACATCCTGATTTTCACACATTATATAAACCTAATCAGTTTATTTGTGTGGGCTGAGATCATGAAATGAAGAGAAAAAAATAAATAATTTTCAACTTGTGCTAAAGATCAGCAAAATCTGTCTGTCTTGAACCATTCAAGGGATATTTCTGGGTAAGTTCCTGAGCTGAGGGCCTTAGAGATAGAATGTTCTATTGCAGCCTGACTTTTAGATCCAGTTGTGCAGCTGTGTGTGTGCAAATTGGTGCACACTCTTGCATATGAGCGTATAATACAGTCCAAAGGTTTCACATGCACGCAGCCCATTACTGGGGAATTGATGCAGAAAGAAAGGTCTTGGTATCTAAAATACTCTGAAATATTGCAAGGTAACATAGGCAGAGAGTCTTACCATACGCTTCTGTAAGACCAATACCAGGTCTTGGAACTACATGGCTGCAGCAGGCATACTATACAAACAGGACTCCTGCTGTTCTTTGCCTTACTACACCTTTCACATCAGATTTGCATAGATGCATGTAACATTGGCAAGGCAGATTCATTTGAATCGTGCATGCCTTATGCAACACTTCAATCCTTACCATATTGATTTAAGAAGTCAATGAGACCCCTAATATCATCACATTCTGTTTTGGGGCCCCAAAATTCTTCAGTTAAAGTAAATAACAAAACTGTTTCCTTTTTTGTAAGAGTGAGACTGGTCCCCTTTATAACAGGTCTTTGCTTGACTCATCTCTCTTTTTCTACCCTTCACACATAGGGTCCCATTGGTGCTGCTGGTCCTGCTGGCCCTCGTGGTGATGCTGGTCCTCCTGTAAGTCCTCAGGCTTTTACCATTCGCACTGTTGCTTTCCATGAAGTCATTGTTTCCTTTAAACTAAATTTTCCTTTTGACTTTTATTTTTAGGGCATGACTGGTTTCCCTGGTGCTGCTGGAAGAGTCGGTCCTCCAGGCCCTGCTGTAAGTGACTGATGGAGAAGTTTTAGTGGGAGACAAGTCTGAAATTGTACTAGTTAGGGATAATCCTCATTTTTGTTACATGACTCAAATTCTGACTATCCTGGAATCGCTTCAGATCTTTACAGGACTGAATAGGAAAGAAAATTCACTGACTGGGAATTATGTATTTAGGTTTGGTTTTGTTTTTTTTTCACAGGCTAAAAGGCATCTTTCTGCACCATTAAGTGCTTTGCCTGTTGTAAAAATCTGGCTTTTTTGTTTTTATTCACAGAGTAACTCCATAGATACTGGTTTTGAGTGAAATAAGGTCGTATCCTACCTCAAAAAGAATGTAGAGATTATCTCGTGTCAACACTTTCCAAAGTATCTGCAGTTCCAACTGCTGTCTGAAGCAGGGGAGCCTCTGATTATGTCTATGAATGTGACTTACTACTTTCTTTTTCAGCCCAAACTTGTTATTTCCAATTGACTTTCATAAAACTTCCTTCTAACAACAGTGTTCCAAGCCTTAGGAAGAGGTATTCCTTTCCTATATTTTAAATCCCACCATCCAAAGCTAAACAATCCTGTTTGTTTTTCTTTTCCCTGTAGGCTTTATAGTTGCAATTGATGTCTCTAGTATCAAACCTACATGCAAAATTTTGCCACATTCCCTAATTCGATAATTCTGCTGATTCCAGCTATGCACTGCTTAACAGAAGTAGTAACAGTTGCTGCTCTGTAGCAGCTGATAACCCGTTTATTGTAAATGGCATGATACTTCTCCGTAGTTCTGGTCTGTGTTATAATGATGACACTTTTGTGCTTGATCCTCTAGGGCATCACTGGTCCCCCTGGTCCTCCTGGCCCAGCTGGCAAAGATGGTCCTAGAGGTCTGCGTGGTGATGTTGGTCCAGTCGGCCGTACTGGTGAACAGGGTATTGCTGGCCCACCTGGTTTTGCTGGTGAGAAAGGTCCATCTGGAGAGGCTGGTGCTGCTGTAAGTAACTGAGTATCACATCTCATCACAAGTGTCTCTCTGCGTAAATGTTACAGCTTCTAAGATACTTTTGGTACTTTCGAAGGGCATTTCTTCTTTACCAAATTTAGCAAAGTTTTTTAAGCAGTAGCTCCACTGAGATTAAGGAAACTTTTTATGCATGTTTGACCAACAGACCCTAAAAGTGAGCACTACCTCTGTGCTGGGTGTCTTATAGAAGTAACTATTTGTGTGAATTACCTCTCTCTACCTTCTCAATGTAAATATATAGAAATTTCTTCCATAATCTGTAGAAGTTACAGCTAAGAATACAATTGTCACTGTCACTGTTGGACATGTATGCTAAAAATTTGTAGGTGACTGTTGAATATTTACCCTGTAAGGTCTGGTATAAAGCAGTAAATCTTCTAGTTTTATATTGTAGTTGAACTAGAGGGTGTGACTGCAATTAGGAATAACAAAGTAATATTTCAGGATGACCACTTACGCCAAGTTTAGTAGCACATGCTCAAATTTTAAGGAAATTGAAAAGTCTCTTAACTAAAGATACTTTGACTTTTCAAAGGATCAGTAATGAGCTCTAAGGCTTGTGGGGAGATAGAAAGTACCTAGATGGTACATAATAAGACTGTCACAGAATCAGATGGCTGGTTTTTCACTATGCAGTTCCCTCAGCACAGTCATCTTCTCCATTCTGAATACCCCAGTTTTCATGTACCACCCACTGTTAGAGAATGGGAAAAACACAATAGGAGATCTTGTCCAGAAAGGAAAAGCAAATGTACTTACTGGGGTCAGAATATAATCAGCATTACTTTCTTAGAGACCTTTAGGTTCAGTCTTCCACCTTGGTTACAATTTTTTCCATTTGGAAACTGGCAATGACCCACATTGAGATCTTTGGAAAAGAGTTACAGAGCAAAATAAATGAGAAATACGGAGGGACTTTTTTACCCCCCCTGTTAATAGAATCTTTCTTCTCACAGGGTCCTCCTGGTACCCCAGGTCCTCAGGGTATTCTTGGTGCTCCTGGTATCCTTGGTCTGCCTGGCTCTCGGGGAGAACGTGGTCTTCCAGGCATTGCTGGAGCAACAGTGAGTATATGACTCGTTGACTGCACTAAACTACAAAGAAAAATGCTGAGGTCTCCTCTTAAGGAATAGTGGTGAACAGGAGGTATAGATTCTGTTTTCATTTCTGCTGCAAACAGATCTTGGTTAAATGGAGCCTACAGGCTTGAGCAGTGGAAGAAATTATTGCTTGCTGCAGACAAACAAAACTTGTATCTGCAGGTGAACATACTTTTGAATGGCATCAGAAGCATCTATTCTTAGCAAGACACAGAAAAGCTAGAAACTGAAATATTTTGCTCTAGTTAGATATGTTTCTCATTGTCTCCTGTTTCTGTTTCACTTCCAGAACTGACTGCAGAGAAATGTTTCTCTTAGATATAGGCTGACAGTTCTGTAAGACTGTTTTTTGATGTATTATGTCACATTCTGTTTCCACTGTTCCTGTATTAGGGTGAACCTGGTCCCCTGGGTGTTTCTGGTCCTCCTGGTGCTCGTGGTCCCTCTGGTCCTGTGGGTTCTCCCGGTCCTAATGGTGCTCCTGGTGAAGCTGGTCGTGATGTAAGCTATGACTTCTTTCCTTTCCAAGATTGCTTTACTTTTGTTCTGAGCCAAAGACTAACACATAGAGAAACTGAATGCGATTGAATGCTGTTCTGCTAGCAAACTTGTACCTTCCAGTGTCTTCAGGGAAAATAGCAGGATCCCAATACACAAATCCCTTATTGGCAAGGTCTAAAACAGAGCAGTGGTACCAGGGAATCTCCTCATCATGAAATGAATTTCAGTCCTTTTCCCCAACAGCTCTGACTAGGTGACAAATTCTTCAAGGCATAAATTGTATCTGAAGGATATCCTGGAGTCACAATCAGAATCTTTTGACTTTTGCTTAATTGCCAAAAAAGACTGAGTGAGAAGAAGCCTTCATTGCAGGAGCTGGTGAAAGCATTACATCCCATGCAACAAGCTTTTGGCTGTAGAGAGGGAAGCTGATTGTCTGTGATAATTTCTTTTAATGTCAGGTATATACACAGTGTTTCCTGACATGCATTCCTTCACCATGAGATGTAAAGGAGGCTAAAAACAGGACAGAACAAACTCTGGCCTGTGTGGCAGGTACTGCTGATCTCCACAGATAAATATAGGCAGTGGAGGACTTGTATCCTATCTGGAAAGGGGTAGTGGAAGTACTGCAATGTAATAAATTGCCCCCTTCAATGCCCTACCTCATGGATGATTATTTGGTGGACTGGGCCCTGCAACCAGCTTTTCATAGAGCAGTGAATAAACTTATCCATTCAATGCAGCCATCCAGGTTAGTAGTTTACCTTGAAGGGTATCCATACAGTTTCTAGGTATTACTTATACTCTAAGAAAAGTAAAATATTCACACGTTATAGTTCTCCTTAAGGATTTAAGATATAAATTTTTCTCTGGGCATTATCAGGGATGTTCATGTGATTACCTGAGACACTGTTAGTACGGAACTCTTGTACTAACATTTACAGAAATAGAACCAAAAGTCATGAATTTTCCTTATATTGGTATTGTAAAATCTAAAATATTCGAAGGCCACCCTATTTTTCAGAGAATGTTAATCTGTGTAAAGGACTTGAATTTGGGACTTATAACAAAGTTTGCCTTAAAGATTCATGCTATTCTATCTCAATGTCTTCTAGATCTCATAAGGAGCAATTAGGCTGGGTCAAAGTTCTATGTGAGATATTGATAGACTTTAATGTTTTTAAATGGTACTTTAACAGGGCAATCCTGGAAATGATGGTCCTCCAGGCCGTGATGGTGCTCCTGGTTTCAAGGTGACTATTTCTTTCCTTTTATTTCATATTTATGAAAGAAATCTTCCAGTATGTATAAGTCAGTAGTAACACAGCATCACTCTTGCATTCCCTTGTGCTCAGGGTGAGCGTGGTGCTCCTGGTAACCCTGGTCCCAGTGGTGCTTTGGGTGCTCCTGGTCCTCATGGCCAAGTTGGTCCTTCTGGAAAGCCTGGAAACCGTGGTGATCCTGTAAGTTGATGAGATTTTACATTTCTTTTGATTGAGACAGGACTAACATTTGTCCATCGTACATGCACATGTGCATTTTATATACATATATGCATCAAAACCCTATCATATGTGAATAATTACTTTGCTTTCTGTAGAGATATGCTTAGCATGGATCCTTTATTAGGTATGATATGCATCAGTGACATGCATTTTCTTTTCCTGTTCCAGGGTCCTGCTGGTGCTGTTGGGCCTGCTGGTGCTTTTGGCCCAAGAGGTCTCGCTGTAAGTCTTAATTTCTGTATACATTACTACATTGATACAAGAATAGAAAACGTATGTTTAACATTAAGGGCCTACAACTGCATTCAAGCACAAAAAGTAGTGCTTAAGCAACTGTAAATATTTATAAATCTAGGATCTTGATCATCTTCTCTCATGGGATTAAACCTGAAGCTTTTGGGATTAATGCTTTTCCTGGGCATCTTAACAGGATATACATAAATATATCAGGGGCAACCTGTGGCATAATGTAGAATGCTTATACTGAATTCATTCTGTCGGTAATATCTAATTCAGGCCTTCTTTAGCATGTATATCCTTTCCTAGGGCCCACAAGGTCCACGTGGTGAGAAAGGTGAACCTGGTGATAAGGGACATAGAGGTCTGCCTGGCCTGAAGGGACACAATGGATTGCAAGGTCTTCCTGGTCTTGCTGTAAGTAAATGATTTTCAATATTTTGACTTAGTTCACTCTGCATCATCTTTCTAAAGCCATATGATCCAAACACTCAGTGCTTTCCACATAATAGGATGAATTTTAATAATGCTGCTGATAGCTGATTTTAGAACTGTACGATTTTTTTGCTCTGAAAACTACAAACTACATTTGGCTAGCACAGAATTCAAAAAGCTCTGCCTCTGTTTAATTAGTATTTCTTCTTTTCTGGTCAGAAATTGTAAAGTTTCTGTATCAGAGAGAAGCGAGTCATTTACAGATTATCTTCCCTTTAAATTCTGGTATCGTCTTTGGGAATTCTGTCTCTTATTTTAAAGAGAAAAACCTAAGAAACAATATAGAGACTCCTGTAGGTTATCCTTTTAAACAACTATTTTCACTCTCTTTCCTTTTATACATTTTAAATCCCAACTGCAGTTGGGATACTAATGCCAGTTGCCCTAGATTTCCATTCTCTGAACCCAAATACATCTGCTGATCCCCTTTTGAATCATGTTAATACAACGTGTGGCATTGCACTTTTTAATGAATATGTATTTGTTTTTCCCAATAGGGTCAGCACGGTGATCAAGGTCCTCCTGGTAACAATGGTCCTGCTGGCCCAAGGGTATGTGAATTTAAGAGTATATGCAAATAATTCTCTCATTCTTTTTATGGAATATATTTCTATGCTCTAATTTGTATGAATCCCTATTTGTAGCATTCCCTACTGTCATTAAACTGTTCAAGTTTCCTTCTAGGGTCCTCCTGGTCCTTCTGGTCCTCCTGGTAAGGATGGTCGCAATGGTCTCCCTGGACCCATTGGCCCTGCTGGTGTACGTGGCTCTCACGGTAGCCAAGGCCCTGCTGTGAGTATAACTTATGTCTTGTTGATTTAACACATGTAGGTAACAGTTAAATGAAAAACACTTTAAAATCTTAGTTTATGGAGAGATTTATTTCTGCTTTAATAAGGGATTTTGAAATGTTGTTGTTTAACATCCAACATTTCCCTAATAGATTTAAACCTGAAGTCTTTCTTCATTCTTTATGGCCAGCCAGTATAAGCACAAAGGTGTGGTTGTCCTACACACTGTATCTTCTGCTTTAGTTCACAGGAGTTACCACAGAGCAGGTCCATAGGTCCTTCCTCAGATTATTGCTGAGGGTGCTAAGTCTTCAGTAGGACAATGCATGTGTGAAAATAGTCGTCTGAAATAATCATATTTGTAATAGAATACTTCTTGACTTTTGCTTTTGAAAAACTTTAGGGTCCTCCTGGTCCTCCTGGTCCCCCTGGTCCTCCTGGTCCCAATGGTGGTGGATACGAAGTTGGCTTTGATGCAGAATACTACCGGGCTGATCAGCCTTCTCTTAGACCCAAGGATTATGAAGTTGATGCCACTCTGAAAACATTGAACAACCAAATTGAGACCCTGCTGACCCCAGAAGGCTCCAAAAAGAACCCAGCTCGCACCTGCCGTGACCTCAGACTTAGCCACCCAGAATGGAGCAGCGGTACGTTAGTGCCTGATATTTGCCCCTTCTGGCTCAGCAAGTTATTTTCAACTTATTAGCTTTCTTTGAATGGTAACCCTGGTCAACCAGTGAGAATACTAAATGGCTAGTGAAGATGTTCTGTGCCTCCAGTGAAAATGCGTATCTGTGAGGATATTCAGAGACATTCAAACATCTACTGTTGTGGAATTATTGCAGCCTTCTTTAAAAATAGTGCAAAAATGTCTAATCCTAGTTTTTGAGTACAGTTAATTTCTTACACATTGACAGTTTAAAAGGTGTATTTCTCCCAATTATCACTTCAATACTGTACTTAGCTGTGACATTTATGACCTCTCTGAATTTCTGTATCAAACCAATGAATATAAACTGAATGCAAGTGTTTCTTTCCTCAAAGGTTTCTACTGGATTGATCCTAACCAAGGCTGCACTGCAGATGCCATTAGAGCATACTGTGACTTTGCCACTGGTGAGACTTGCATCCATGCTAGCACTGAAGATATTCCAACTAAGACCTGGTATGTCAGCAAGAATCCCAAGGACAAAAAGCACATATGGTTCGGTGAAACTATCAATGGTGGTACTCAGGTATGTGATGCACTGGAGGATGATTGTTTCCTGCAGTGCTTTCTGAATAATTCCCTACCTGCTGACACTCAGTGAGCAAAACTCATTAATTAAACTCTTAGAGGAGAAATATGAAAAGGGGAACAGCTACGTTTTATCTCAGGGGAGCAGGGTTCCAGTTCTGGCTTCAAACACAGTTTGCTAAAGAGATCTTTTTTTAGTATTGTTCTAATTTTTCTTAGTGTCTGCCAGTGATCAATTCAGCATGATTAGTGGCCAGACCTAAGGGAATCCTGGCCTGGAATGTGCTACTTCAGTACAAAGACAGTCTGGAAACTGAGAAAGGAATAATAATAATTTTTGCTATTTTTTAAGTTGGGATTTATTTTTGACATATTGTGCTATTCTTGAAAAAATATTTGTATTACACATGACAGATCCTAAGTATATGCCATTGTAGCACTCAGAATTGCCATTAAGTAAAATTAAGAAATATATCTACCTGCATATGAGACATTGTACCAGCCTGCTGGAAAGTCCTTTTTGTACAATTAAGAATTAATTTCATAATTTTTAAATGAAATTGAATTAGTCTTATGATGAAATCCCAGTTTCCAAGTTCTTTAATACAAAATCAAAAAAGTTTATCACTGGGTCAGAACAAGGACCCAGGGTGCTCTAGAGTCCTATTTCTCACATTGGCTGAAAGCAGTTGTTGTCAAAGAATATGAGGAAGCAAACATTCATAACATCCACAGATGCTGCTCTATAAAACTAAAATAAGAAATAAAAACTCAGGGCTTTCTTTAGCCAGGCATTGTCTGTGTATTTGTGGAAACAATGGATTTCTCCTCTTTTGAATATGTCTGATCTCATCTTTAAATCCACATAAATGGCTAAAAACCACCATATCTTGCATCAGAGTTCTACAACTTAACTCCATCCACTACTTGTGCTCAGCTTTCACCTTACTTCCTGCTAGTTGTGTGGTGCTGTCTAGCTCTGCAGTTGAAATAGGCAACTGATCTCAAACATTTGTGCTCTTTAATTTTTTTCTATTCCTACAGAAAATATGTAAACACTCACTTTTCCCCAGAAATTCAATTGAGTGGGTTTCTTTGTCTTTTTCAGTTTGAATACAATGGTGAAGGTGTGACCACAAAGGACATGGCCACCCAACTTGCCTTCATGCGTCTGCTGGCCAACCATGCCTCCCAGAACATCACCTACCACTGCAAGAACAGCATTGCCTACATGGATGAGGAGACTGGAAATCTTAAAAAGGCTGTTATACTCCAGGGATCCAATGATGTTGAACTACGAGCTGAAGGCAACAGCAGATTCACTTTCAGTGTTCTTGTGGATGGCTGCTCTGTAAGTAACACAGAAAGCATGGGCAGTATGATTGTATTAATGAGCTGTGCTTTGATTCAGAACTAGATTATCAGTCAGACCAGAAAAAATTTATCCAGTGAGGATAAATAGCCTATAGAACCACCTGTGCCAGGTCTTTAATAAGTGACAAAGACTGGGGTGCTTCCTGTACTGTGCAATGTGACAAAAAAAGCTTTTCTGAGGAACTAGACCCAAATTCTGTGGAAACTGAAGCATGCTGAGAAAGGTACAGGAGGGGCAGGGTTAAGTCTTCAAAAGATCAGGCAAGGGTCACTGAGTGTTTAATCAGCATGAATAATATGGAAAGGTTAAAGTAAATGTTTTCTCTGTATTAGAGTTCTAAACAATTGGATATGGGTATCTTATTTGCAAACAGTGGCAGTAAAATTTAAGTAAAATTATTTCAGAATTTATCCAGTTAGGTGAAACAATTCTCAATTCTATGAACAATGCAATAACAATTCTAATACATTTTCTCTTGCAGAGAAAGAACAACAAATGGGGCAAAACAATCATTGAGTACAGAACAAATAAGCCATCTCGCTTGCCCATCCTTGACATTGCACCTTTGGACATTGGTGGCGCTGACCAAGAATTCGGTTTGCACATTGGCCCAGTCTGTTTCAAATGAATGAACTAAAATTAACTTAACGCCCCCCCCCCAGAATTATTCTTTGTCATTTCTTTTTGTAATGAGAGCTGACTCCTTCCATTTTTTCTGTTCATCTACTTGCTTAAACTCTGGGCGAAAGAGAAGGAGAAGAATTGATTGGAGCATTGTGCAATGAAACTTAATACAGCCCCAAAAGGACTTGGAAGTCTTTCAAGATTTAACACCTTGCTTTGGGAAATGTCAACCTTTGTAAAGAAAAAAAAAACCAAAAAAAAAAAACCCAAAAAAAATAAAATAAAAAATCATGAAAGTTTGCACCACTTGTGGCCTTTGACTATCTTCCACAGAGGAAGTTTAAAACCACAACTTCCAAAGGTTTAAACTACCTCATACACTAAACCAAGTGTGATCCACATCCTTTGTAGGCACTTCTCCATATCATATGAGTTACTTTCAGTTCCACTCAGAATATAGTGGTGCTAATTTCATTATTCCAGAGTATGTTCCAATACTTGAATTTTGATGGTGCTAGCAGCAGTTAAAGCATTACTTCTCTGTTTCTTTGAAATCTATCTCATCCCCAGCTTAAGCACGTGGATCATTTTTCCTCATCTTTGTCCTCTTCCTCCAAAATCAGATATTTCTGCTTACAAATCTCATCTTCATCTTCTCCAATGGATAAAAAAGAATCATCATTTCTCAAAAGAAAAAAAAAGAAAATGTATTTTGTATATGTGAGATGTTTAAATAAATTGTGAAAAGAAAAAAAAATAAAGCATGTCCAGTGTTCCAAAAGAAGGTATCAAATGAGTAAAGTTACTTGCTTAGGTGCATCAGCAGAAATTCACTTAGAGTGAAGAAATATTTTACAGCATCAATTTAAGAAATAATGCAGCATTCAGAGACTGCCTACTGCTGTCTTCTGACTGTAATTGTCTACTTGACCCTTCAATTCAACATCCCCTTTTGAGGAAGTCTGAGGGGAAAAGAAAAAAAAAAAAAAAGAAAAAAAAAAACCATGCCTCATAGTATGCAAACTTCAAAAGTTGAAGAGATTCTTCATTTTATCTGAATTCTAAACAAAATTAATGACTAAAAGGATAACCATCTCACATAAAATAGACAGAAAATGAGGGCTCTGTCTTGTGAAAACTTACTGTGGGGAGAAGTCTGTTGGCTGATGCTCTGCTGCAATCTGTAGGCGTGTATACTTCTGAAATAATGTGGAGGAAGAGTCAGAAGATCAGACTTAATTAGGCCTTTATACTTCATTCAGTTGTGTATGAAACAGATCTAGCTGCTGTTAACTTAAATAATTTACTGTCACAATGAACATGCTGAAAACCAAAGACATTTCTTGGCTGAGACCTTTTAAGATGATGCTATCATACAGTGCTTTTCTAAAAGCCTGAAATGAACAGCAGTTTCAGCGGCTGTGTTTCGGCATTGGGAGGGTCTTGAGATGTGCTGGAGAGATATGCAAGAACATGAGGACAGCAGCTGGAGCAGGTAAGGGAAGAGATGAGATGAGCTTAATCAGCAGGAATCCACAAAGAAAAGCCTGGAGAAAATAACCGGAAGAAGATCCTGTAACATGAACACAGCACCATCCCAATGCTGGTGGGTGAGTAGAGTCCAAAAGCTGCTCTGGACAATGAAAAGAGAAATAAGCACTATTTCTAAAGGAAGTTTTTCATTCTTGCATGCAATTAATTGCTTAATGGAGAAAGGACAAATAGGAAAACACAGCCTGGTGTGCAGCTGCTGTGTGCTCACAGCTAGTTGTGTGCTGCATACATAAAAGGGGTAACGTTTGCAGCACTGTGCTAGATTAACAATAGGGAAATTGCCATGATAAAATATAGCCTTTTTTCACTTAAATGAGTAAAATACAGTTTAATGTAACTACACAAATCATCACGGTCCAATGAATAACAGTGGGAAGTGTTAGCATTTCACTGTCTTAGCATTTAAAAATATATACTGCTGTTGTAAAGAAAAAGAAATATTGAAATATTAGGAGTTTTTTCTCCTAGATTATCCAGAAGCCAGGAATTTTCTACTGGACTGCAAAGGTAGAATTACTTTCCTGAGTCCATGTAACTCACTAGGAAGTATGCAAGCATTATTGCCAGGGCTGATAGGTGAGCTATTGCTGCCCATACCTTTGTGAGAAGGGGAAAAAAAGTGCAATACTTGTGATTTTGAAAGGAAAGGGCAAATATGCTCTCTTTGGTCATCTTCTGATTTCTCCTGTGCTCTGCCTGATCTATTTTATGGCACTTCCTTCCAGATGAAGAATGTTCCCATTCGACTTCCACCAGCCCTTTAGTTGTACCCAAGGTCTGTGTCTTTTTTGCACCTTTGCCGCTGAAGTGGGCTTAGTCAGAAATCAAACCAGAAGAGAAAAAACAGCCCCCACCTCACATTGGGTGTTAGCACCTGGACAATACTGTTTGGCTTTTGGGTTTTGAACTCATCAGAAATTAATGCACAATCAAGCATTATTCTCATGCTTTGCACAGTGTTGCAGAGCTTCTTTCTTCTCCAAGGACCATAGCTGAAAATAAGTAAGGTGAGCTGCACACAGTGCAGGGAGTCTTCATACTGTCTCATTTCAGAAATACAACGTGTTGAATAAATTTTTGGTGAAGTTTGCTTACTTGTTTCTGGGAGTCATCTCCCTCCCTGTGCAAATTATCTCTGCAGAATTTAATAACAAGCAGGTATGCATCAGCAGTAACATAAGTAGACCATCAGCACAGAGAAGCTAAAACAGTAGGGTTAAAACCACTGCCAAACCCAGGGCTCAGCTGTGGTACAGCTGCAAATGGCAGTACTGGAGCATTTGGCCCAATCTGTGCTGCAGGTCCAAACACCCACCTGTGCGGTCAGTGGAAGCGTTCTACCCATCTGCTCCTCTCACACAGCCTTCCTAGGAGACAGCAGAGGCTGAGATGCTCCTGTCAGTAAGTTGGCTGGAGCCTGATGTCTCCAGTGCAAATATACTTTACGGCATCCATGATGGCTGCTCAGAACTTAGCAGAAGCGGGGCTTTCTGCAGCACATGCCTTTGTAGGAACATGGCATAAGTAGGTGAAAAACAGAGGTGGGGAAAGGGAACGTGGTGAATTCAACCAATGCAGAGAGAGAAATGTTAAAACTGGAAAGAAGTTATGGAAGGGAAAATTGTAACTGTCCAGGTTTCTTCACTGGGGAGAAAAATCATGACCCACTGAGAATCATCTTAAAGATCTGCATAGACCATTTTGAAACATGAATACTGTGCTCAGGGCTATGAAAAGGCAAGTTATCTTCTGTTTCCATGATGCAGCTTTAAACTGCACCTTTTGATGTGATTTTTGGTTTGTTCCACTGTAGTGCTTGGAGGTTTCAGACAGGCTCTCCTAGAAGCTGTTATTCTGGAACCCACTCAATCTGGTTTTACAGTTTTAGAATCGTGTATACTGATGCCAAACAATGCAAGAATAGCACATTCAAATAAAGCAGTTCTCAGACACGCTATCAGAAGTAGCTTATAATTCATCTCCTTACATGCAGTCTTTGTTATTGGCTTATTAAAAAAGCATTATTTTTCCATATTGTTTCCATATACATATCAGAATCAGCCTGAATGTGCTCTGCAAAGCATATGCAAATATCTTCCACAGCTATGACTATTTCTATGCTCCTGGGCTGGAACACATTAGTCCGTTTTTGGACATTGAGTGGTTGGGTGCAGGTATTGCATGAAAAAAATTTTCTAGCCACAATTCCAGGCTTACGTATATTCTCTAGCTAATCATGAATTGATGGCTCTCATTAACCCAAACATAAGCATCCGAAGAAATACATTTGCCCTAAATACATTTTGATAGCAAGATTTTGAAATCTATGTAATTCATTACAATAATTATTTCAGTGTAAAAATCATATTATAAATTTATATATATATGTGTATATATAGAGAGAGAGAGAGAGAAAATTTTCTTATGTTGCTTTTCAAGCTGCAGAAGTTGGTTCTTTGAGTGATATCAAACAAGTTTTCCTGAACGCCAGTTCTTAAGACCATGAGTGAAATAGCAGGGTGATTCCACAAGTGCAGTGCACCACCTATTGACTCAGGCAGTCATTACTGGCCATTGAAGAGTTCTAGTGCAGCTGCTACCTGCCGTGGTTACTATCAAAATCTTTTGAGCTGTGTGGCCAGGAATATCCCAAGGGATATTTCAGCAAAATATCAGCTCCACAATTCTTCTACAAATAAACTGGCTTGCCAGAAGAACACCCATCCAACCCAGGAAAGACCCTGGCAGCAAAATGCAGCCCTATGTGGGGAATAGAAAAAAAAAAAAAAATCAAGATGAGAATACTTATAATCTAGTTTTCAGTGACTATGAAACCAAAGCAGGAGAGGTAAACTCATCTGACTGATAGCCCCTCTGTCAATTCAGCGCTCATTCAGCTCCCATGCATGGGCCTCAGTCTTTGAGCATACTCTTTGCTTTCAGAGAAGAAGACCAAGTGGAGAAACTGAAGTTTCATTTCCATTTTGAAGCTGTTTTACATTTCTCTGAACTTTGAGGATGCAGAGAAGTCTTCTACAAAACAGGAGGTGTTTGTAAGGTTTGTGTCCTCTACGTAAAGTGGAAGCACTGTCAAAGGCAACAAGCCAGACCAAAGATCTCTGCTCTTTTTATTTGCTGCTCTTTTGCACCTAGATCAAGGCCTGCATTTTTCCTTAGCTGTTGGGTCACCTCTTCAGCAGCAAAATATCTTCTTCCTTCTCCTGTATTTGAGAGTTTTTGCCTTTAGCTTTGAAATAGTTTTTAGATCCTTCTGCTTCAGCACTATACAAAGGATGACATCTCAAGAACATTAAATTCTGCCGTGTACCATGAAAATATGCAGATGAGCAATGCAGAGAGCCCTATCAATTTCTGCTGAGATAAGCTGACGTAAGGCATTGCTGAGGATACAGGCTTCAGTAGATTCACTTCATAAGAATTTGTTCAGGTTTTAGGCTTTAGGGAAAGTCATATTTTGTTACTGAAACATTTCAATACAAGTGTTTTCATAGCATAAGCAACGATATGGAATGAAAAAAATTAGATCCATATACTCCATAAACTCTCACTTGAGTGATTATTGAAGTGTGTCATCCACAGGACATTTGAAGCTACAAGCAAACAATAACAGCTGCCTTGCAGGTTCCAGCTCACCAGGCTTTTATGAATATTTTATAGGAATGGCATAGCTACTCAGCTATCTCTTAATTCCCAGGTGATAAATCTTTGCTAAGTCTGAGGTGTGCAGAGGATCCTTCTGCATGCATGTTTACATTTCAGCATCACAAAATTGCTTAGACACATGAGAGTTCACAGCAACCCAGCGGAGCACCACACAGACAAACAGATACAGCAGAGCAGTGTGAACCCGAAGGACCATTGTAATCTTCTGCTTAAATTAAATTCTTTCTTTGCAATTTCATCTTTAAATAATGACTCATGGGAATATTCTATTCTGTTAATCTATTGCAAATACTTGAACAGTGTTTTACTGAGCCTGAAGCTAAAATAGAGATATTTTTTCCAATGTTATGATTATCATCCATATAAGAAGTTATTTTCCTTCCTAAAACATAATTACCTTCCTAAAAACGTTGGCTCCAAGTAGTACAGATCCCCTGCATTAGGTTCTATGAAGTTACAGACTGTTGCAAGGTGAAAATAACTTCACAATATGATGATTCATTTTGGTAGATTATTTTATATAGCATTATAGTATTTATACAGTATATCCCAGTCATTTCAGGTTTCAATGTAAAAGCTACTCAAAAGAACACTGCATATTCCAACAAAGAATTAGAATACAGAAGGATTAATTAATTAATTAATTCCTACTAGAGAGGTCAGATTGGCTGGCAGGATCTTCCTCTTCGTGGTGAGGAAAGAGTTCTCCTCCAAAGCCTTGATCCCTCTTGACCAAAATCAAAAGATGTTACGCATATTCCCACATGACCTCAGGCAAACACGCTCAGTTCCACCCAATTTTACTCATTTAAAGAAACCTGGGATAGTAGCCGTTACTCTATAGATGCATAGTTTCATCAAGTTCAGTGAGAAATGAATTTCTGGAGACATCCTTATAAAATTGACCTCTTCCATTTCTAAACAAGAGAATACATACCAGTTTTCTGGAAAAGGTAGAGCTGACAAGACACAAAATAATTTCAAGGAAGTGTTTTTGCAGTCCAAAACAGCCCATGACAATTTTCCATCCATGGTAAAGCTTCCTGTTCTTGGAGTTTTCCATTTCAGCTTTTGTCCCATAAGTAGTCAGACCTTCTCACTTTCACATTTGTTTTTAAATTGTAAATTCACGGCAGGATCCACAGTGAAAGTATGCCAGTTTCACAGCCAGTTTCACTGTCTGAACTACTGCCAGATAACCACATCCACCGAGAACATGGAGGGCACACTGTTGGAAGAAGACAGCTTAAACGTTGCCCAGTGGATCTGCTCATTCTCCATGGCCAGCTGAAGGAATGCTGTGAAGCCTCTCTCCAGCAGTGTTAAATGATCTGGTCAAGTATTTGCTGAGCAATGTAGGTATATTTAGTATTTCATTTTCTGTTTCAGAGAGGTTCGGAAACACTGAACTACACAGAAATAGTCTCAGTCATACATCAGCAGAAAAGCTTGGTTATCTTTGGCACCTTCTGAAGTTCTTCATTCTTCCAAGCTTCTCACAGGCAGTAGGAGTTGTCGCATCATTCATCATTAACACTTACATTGTTCTTAATTTTTCTTTAACCAAACATCTTCTTTGAAGTCTGCCTCTGTTTGTTCTCAGGGTTCACAGTTGGTTTTTTTTATTGGCTATCTCAGCATCTCCGGCTTTACTGAAAGCAGAAACAGCTGCATTGCTTCTCTTCTTCTCTCAAAGAAAAGCTTTGCATTCTTGTTGCAGCTTTTCACCTACATTCAAAATGTCATTCCTTCTCTACACTGTTTTTATGCTTGTGAACATTGTTTCACAGGGAAATTCAGCTAACATCATTATATGAGCCTCTTAATGATGTTCTTTTGATCACATTCTAGGTTTTGTCTATTTTCCTGTCAATCATACCCTTTTCTTTGATGCCCTATATCAATTACTGACTGCATTACAGACTCCAGGCTTCTAAAACTAAAGTGATTTTTTAATAATTAAGAGAATTAGGAGAACTGTTTTACAGAGTTTTATCTTCAACTGTTATATCTTCAACTACCATTCATATCATGTGCAGGAAAATTTATTTCTACCCAGATAACTTTTCTTCACTTTGTGCTATTTCTCAATTTACTTCTTCCATACCATCTTTTACTGCATTACCATATTTTATTATATTATTTTATGTCATTGCTGTATTCCCTAGTTAATACATTCTGTAAAGTTCTTCCTAGAATTGTCCAGCTTCTCAGCTTCATGTCAAGGATATCAGCACATGAAAATCCCCACTCCGGCCCACAGGCACCTGTCCCTTTATCAGAATACAGTGATATAACATCTGTGACAGCAGTGCCTGCTGTAGCTGGATACACTATAGCTGCACACCATGAGCTAACAGAGACTGTGATGAAGAACTCCTGGAACTCAAAGCTAAGCATTTCTTTTAATGGGCCAATATCACACAGACTACCAATGTATTGTACAGAATGTTAATGGCAATCAGTATGAATGATTTTTATTATAGATTATTACAGACTGATAGAGGTGGAAATTATTATGTCCTAAAGAGAATGTAATTACAGAATGATACTTGCATTGTCAGCAGCCAAAAGAAAATGCTCTAATGCTCCTCAAGCATGACACAGCTTGGACAGCAGCCGCATTGGCTTCCAAAGACTGCCTCACGTGTATACAGAACTTTCAGTTTTAAAGGGGCAAATCTGGGACCATAAGGGGCGACCAGGAAAAGAAAACAATGAGAAAATGAAACTGACAAAAAGAGAACAGTTTGGCTTGACAGGGAGCTATCATTTTCTCTTACCTAAGAGTCAAAAAAAAAAAAAAAAAAGAGAGAAAGAGAAAACAGAAAAAAAAAAGGCACCTACTAGTTAACAACCTACTGATAAAAGCTGAACATTCTGAACCCCTTATATTGTCGTATACAAGGCTTTGAGGGCAAGAATCTAAGCAGCTGAAAGAAAAATCGATTTGCATTGATGAGCTGTGCAGAGTCCCCATCTGACCTCAAGCCTACGTGGCTGCATGGTGATGACATCCCATGGTGTAGAAAGGTGCATTCTCTTAATGGAAGAGGAGAGATCACTTAAACATTTGGATTTTGTCTATTTCCCATCCCTCCAACCCTTCCAACTCACTTATATTCCAGATCCATGGATACGTGAAATTAAAACAGTAATGTTCATGTTACAGAATTGCAGATACACTTATCTATTAGTGATAAAGCCAAATGTATCCTTTACGCACATGATTTCAAAACTACTTTTCTTAATATCAGCTTCCTTTTAGTGCAGACTATTGAGGAATATTATAACTCTTATAAAGTTAGAAATCTGTAAATGCAATAATCTGATAGAATTTCCAAGATCTCAGGAGCCTGCCTGAGACGGTAATCTGTTTGACTGAACAAATCTTGTTGTTCTTTGTACTCTCCTTTCATTAGCATAATATTTGCAATGGATGGTTACCACACACACGCCTGCCACATGAAGACGTGATGCTTACAGAAAGACTGGTTGCTTTTCCGAGGCTGAACACTCAACAACCAAAATGTTTGATGTTGTTGTTTGGTGATTATACAAAGCTCCTGAAGGAAAACCTGCACTACTGACAGAATAGTTCTCTCCAGGAATCTGCTGGAAATACAGCTTTGTTTCTGGAATTACAGTATCTGGGTAGCAAACTGATAATGATGCACAAATTAAATTAAGATCTGATATGGTTTGGGGTATGGCAGATCCTACTTACTGATCATTCAACAAACTTAATCTATCACATAACACAGAGACTCATCCAGTCAGGAAATCACAAACAGTATGTTCCCAAAATAACACAAGAAATGGACATTTTAAACACACGTTGCAGTTTTTCTTTCAGCTTTGGTGTCTATATTCCTCATTATATAAATGTATGCAAAATTAATTCCACTCCTATAAGCATGCAAAAACTCCGAGGGGAAAACAGCACATGGGAAGGCCCTGACTGAGAACACATGTATACATAACCTCTCAGTAATAGATAATCATTGTCCCTGTTTTTCAGGCTTCAGGTCTTGGGACTGCCCTGTGACTTTGACTGAGGACAGTAGCTCTCTCTAGAAGCCACACTTGGCTGCAATGCTGAAATCAGCAGAACCAAGAGAATGAGGTCTCCTGGGAACTGAGCTTATCAGCAGAGTCATAAGTGCATACCCATTACAACCTGCAGCACAGCGTTCTCCTCCCATTAACACTGAGCCTGCCAAGCAAAACAGGAAGCAGTAAAATAAGCATTATCTTACTTTAATTACATCTGTATAAATGCCATCTGTCCAGTTTAATTATCTAAATTCAACACAGGATTGCCTAACAGTGAGTCTATCAGCTGCATTCTTATCTACGAGTAAGAAACTGGTGCCTCTCTTCCACCAGTCCTACAGAGGAGTTCAGATAATGAATTTAAAATAAATAGACTTACAAGTGGCTGGAGCTAGGTGCAGTGAACCCCATCTCTCCTGACCACTTTATAATCCTGACACTTTGGGGAAAAAGCATGGCTGAAAACCACAGTAATATTTTCAGCTGTTTTATTTTCAGTGACCACACATAACACCACAGTGTCTTATCAAAATAATGAATTCAGTTAAGCCAGGGCTTTCCTTGTAGAGAACAGAAATGGGAAATCTCTCCTGTGGCTGTTCATTCTTCACAGCCATTACCCAATTTGCGAAGCACTCTCACACTTCCTCCTGCCTCAGATGAATTACTTGTCGCTGTGCTGAGCCTTTCTCCATGACTGCTCCAGACCTTCCCCTCCCACTTACTGCATTGGATGCTTCCACCAGATCAAGCTGAAAGCCAGTGCCAAGCTGGAGCATTTGGAAAACAAAAACTGAGGTGTAATTGCAGGAGAGCTAACGTACTTCTGGTTTACTTCCAGCACATTAAATTCATCAGCAGACAGGAAGTAGATATTTAATGGGAATTCCAAAGCTTCTTCTAGCTAATTCATGTTTGGAGTCTATTTCATGGGTAATCTCTAATTACCCTCTTGTATCAGGCCTTTCCTGTATAATGTTTGTGGTGTAAATTATTCAGGTGTAGGCAATGATGTCAAATTCCATTAGCTTGTAAGAAGCAAGGAGGTACCCATATGAAAAGAATCTGCATGCGTGCAAAGCACTGCCTAGCTCATGGCACTGCAGCCACAACTTCCAAACGCAATGAAGGAGATCTCTTGTCAAGCACCTGCACAACCTCTCCAAAGGAGCAATGAAGCAAAAGCAGACATTCTGCTTACATCCACTTCAATATTTAGTATACACAAGCAGTTAAACTTAATTAAGGTACTTAACTTTTAATAGTATCAGTATTCATCAGTAGAGATGTAAAATCCCAGAGACGTAATGCACAAGTAGGGTTCTGGGGCATCACTTAAGAGAAGGCTCAGTGTTTCAGGGCAAGTGAGGAGTGCCACTGGACATCCATGGACCAATCTGAAACAGCACTCAGAAGGCTGCGGGACAGAATGGCTATCCCTGCATGTTGTAATCCTCTGACATATCTATAAACAAATGTACATTTGTTTTGTTACCTTTCGGAGTTCTGCTCTCAGCTTCTCAAATGCTCTTCCAGTATAGCCAGTAAACTTAACAGTTATACTGCTTAGGACACAGGCTGAAATCCATGTGTTCTGGTTGGATCAAAATCTGTTTATCAATAAATATTATGAAAACAAGCAGAGTATCTGAGATCCTAAATGACTGCAGAAAAGATGCCCAAAGAACACTTATAACTCCAATCCTGTACATTTGCACGGTGCCTGAAGTTCTTCAGGTAAAACCTGAAAATAGAATTTGCAGCGTGTAGGTTTCCTGGCTTTGTTTTTGACAATTTAATTTCAGTTTTAATCACGCTCTCTTTTCCATTTTTAACGCATTGTCAGATATGAACAGCCGCAGATCTTCCGGAAGATGACTTTTTTGGCTCACAGACAGACGGGAGGGTGGGGAAACAACAACCAGATGTTTCGGTGCTCCACATTCCGGTGTTCCACGAAGAGCCCAGCGCTACCGCGGCCGGCAACCCTGGAAAGAGGAGATCAAGGAGGAGGAGGAAGGAGGCAGCTCCGCCCCGGCAGCGGGGGGCCGGGCTGCTTTCCGCCGCGCCGGTGGGGACGGTGGCAGCCGGCGGCGGGGGCTGCTTCGGCAGCCTGCGGGGACCCAGTGCTGCCCCGCTGCGCCCGCCCGCTCCGCCGCGCACTGTTGTCATGGAGGAGCCAAGATGGCGGGCCTGGCCTACACCCTGGGCAAGCGGGAGATCAACTACTACTTCAGCGTGAGGACCGCCAAGGCGCTGGCGCTGGGCGCCGTCCTGCTGCTCGCCGCCTGCCACGCCGCCTCCCGCCGCTACCGAGGTGAGCGGGGCCGCGGGAGGCGGAGCTGAGGGAGCGCGGGCGGCCGACGGCCCTCCGGCCGGGAAGCCGTGTGGGCCGGGCCGGGGCCGCCCAGGGCTCCCGCAGGCAGCTTGGGCAGGGGCTCAGCGGGAAGGCCGTGTTCGTTGTCCGAGCAGTCGGAAGCGCGGGGCCCTGTCCGCCTGTGTGCGAGCCGCCGCGCGGGTCGCGCGTGGGTTGGCAGCCGGCATCTGGCGGGCAGCGCTATTGCTGCCTGAATTGGCGGAAGGCTTTGGTATACTTTTCTTGTTTCATTTTATTTTTTTACCCTCTGTTCAACTGTTGGCTCAAAATTCAGTCCCTTGGGTTGATGCAGCAAAATGAGCAGCTGCTTGTTTTTGTGTGTGGTTGGTGGACGAGCACGGTGTTGCCCTATAAACAGCAGTGAGAGCCACTGAAGTCTTCTGCTATACTCTTGAATATGGAGCGTGTTTTTGTGTGTAAACCGTGAAGTTGATCCAAAGGCTGTGTGCTGCTGGACAAGGGGTGCCATTGTGCACTGAGGCTCATGCCCTGCGCTCCAGGACGATTGGGATGAAGCACTCTATTGTGGAAGTGCGGAAGGGAATAGGGAGCCTTTACAGATTCACCCTCCAGCTGACACGTTGGTAAATCTAACAGACTGAAGAGCAGTAAGTTGCGAGGCATTGAGGTGTTTACTGCCTGCTAGAGAAGCTTGGATATGAAGTAACTGAGCTTGTTGTGCTGTGTAACCAGAGGCTGGAATCCATCTCAAAAGTAGATGGAAGGAAGCTGGAAAATGTGATGCTTTTTTTAAGAGAATGATTGCAAGGCTGGCCTGGGAAAGCAGGGACTTCCACATACAGCAAATGAGCAAGAAGGCACTCTGTGCATAAATAGGATGCACGATCAGAGAGCTGTTGGGGCTCTCTGTTGAGTCACAAATCACATTAAGGTAGGAGTCTGTAGGCCTTTGTAGATGTTGGTTGAGTCAATATAGATTCTTATGAAGTTCTTTCACCTAAAGCTTTTAGTTTCTTTGAGCCACTTTAGGTTGGGTGAGGATTTCTCAGAAAATAGAAGCTCTATCCAGCTTGGTCTTCTTTGAGCAGGTAGCATTCAAAACACACAAATGGTTTGGAAAAGGAAGATGGAGCGTTTATAGCAGATAGAAAGGTTTTGGGGATAGGCAAAAGCAGATGTTTCTGTGAGATCATTTTGCAGCTGTTCAGTGATCTTAAACATCTGGCGTTAAGCAAACTAAGGAAAAACATAAGATTTTACTGTGATACTGCACAGTGAAGCTGAGTTGTGTCTTGCTTATTGTCAGTAATGCTGATGAGTCCCTCTTGGCCATAAAATCCTCACACAGGGGTTGTAGAGGGAAGAGCATGGATCAGGTGTGGTCTGCAAACTTGCTGTCATTGGTAGAAGTGAGGTTCTCAAGGCCCAAAGCAGCAGGGTGGTGGGCATTGGGCTGTGCCAGAGGAGGGAGTGCTCTGTTGTGCTTTTTCACACTGTTTTCAGGCATCTGTCATCAGCCGCTGCAAGGAAGGGGGGAGCAGAAAAGGCAAACTGTCATGGGAACAGCAAAGTACCCATTCGTGTGGATACTGTCTTTCTTTTGTAAATACATAGGAATGTGGAGGAAAAGGGGGGCTGCATATAAATAAAAAGTACATAAATAAAACCACTGTGGAAGGTTGTTTCTTATCCAATAAATTGGCTCTTTCCATAATGAGATTCTTCAGATACTAAAGCATGGATTAGTTTATACTATTATGCAAAAATGCTGGGCTGCAGTTGGGGTAGGTTAAATTCATATTCAGGGAGACTGTCATATTTAGAGATTGCCTAATTTTCTTGCAAAACTTTCAATGAGTGAAGTTAAGCTGTTTTTAGCTTTAGTAAAGTTTCTTCATAGACTTAATTGTACTATATATCTTTATAATATCCAGTAAAAATCAGTAAAAAGTTATCAGCACGTTTCAGTTATTAGCATATTTCAAAGACTCAGTCTTACAGCTTGTTGGAAATAAGTTTCTATTTTTTTTTATTATTATTATTATTATTATTATTTCATTCTTAGAGTCTCCATCATTGAATGATCACGTTCAGATCTAGATTTTAATCTTGAATAGTAGTGACTGCTTGGATTTCCATTTCTTTGAAATTCTTAGTGTTGATCTCATTAATGGTTAAGAAGGTGCATTTCCAGAGGTACCATCTTGTATGTAACTTCCAGTTTACTGTCTTAGCTGCTGTTTCCATCTTTATTGTTGTTGTTTCTTCTTCACTGTCCACTGTTGCATTGCCTTCTACAGTCCACCTCCTCTCCAAGCTTCTACTACTTTCTTTAAAAAAAACCAAAAAGCCTCAGGTGTAAGTAATGTTCCTAATGGATTTTAGGAGCTTTCTGTGTTGCTTATGGAAGTATTCAGAAAATCAGTATCTGGAGCTGGGATAGAAAACGTATCTCCGTTCCCTAAAATATTATCTGTGTAGTTAAAATTAATGCAATTAATGTTTGGGATGCAATTTCGATAAATGCCCATAGGTTGGAGGATTTTTTTCATCTGTAAGCAGTGCCTGATGGAGTGCCATGAAATGCACGACTTCAAAGCTTTGGTTGTGAGCTCAAGGCATGAAACGTGCTCTACTCTGAAAAGGTGGTAAACAAAGATCATGAATTTCTTCAGTCTTGAAAAGAAATGATTTATGAAGGGTTGATAGTGGTCTGCAGGTTGTGATAAATACAGGAGGGATCTGCACAAGGCTTAGGGAGTGCAAGTAAAGCTGGTAGGAGCCGTATGTGAAGTAAAGGCAGGCAGCAGCTATGGATATGGAGAACTCCTGCCGAAAGATGCTGTGAGAGATTAAAAAAAAACTGAGGAAAAGATTACATGATTTGGTGAGAAAGAAATTTGTTGGAGGTTCTGTAAAATATGAAGAAACCACGTCCAGCTCAGGAAGTCCTTGGACTTGGGATAATATTGGATGGGAATTGTACCAGGCTGATGTGACCACCAGTAACCATCTGTCTTCTGCATCTTTCTCAGCAAATTAATGGGTTTCAGAAGGAGCGTAGTGGTGAGTTTTCCTTTATATACTTTGCTCTTCAGTCACTTTGATGCATCATCATGTTTTCATCACCTGCAGAGCTGGGGTTTTGGTTCCGTAACAATAACTGTAAGTCACCTATTACAAGCAGCGTGAGTTTGTTTTGTTTTGGTTTTCTTTTAGCAGTTTCATTTTTAAGCAACTTTCTAGAAGTGATGTGGTTGAAGTAGGTGCATGCATTGAGAATTAAGGAAATTACGTTACTTGAAAGCCAGTACACAGAAACATTTGACATGATTAAGGAAAACTGAAACTATGGTTGTCTTGAGTTTCTGGTTTCTATTAAAGGTATCTGAGCAGCAAATCTGAGCTGTGCCAAGACAGTTAAAAAGTAGGCAAGGATCTGGCTTTGTATGTCACTTGCTGTGTTCTGAGCTACTGCTGCAGCAATTCTGGCAGCAGGATCAGCGCTGCTGTGTTAAGTGGGAATGGCTGGAAGAGAAGAAGAAAGGTGCTGATAAACTGCTTTGGGAAGACCTGTTCACAAAAAGCACTGTGCTGACTACTGAAACAAGCACCGGCTGCAAGAAAAAGCTTGTACTGCTGACCTGTACTTGTTGAAGAACAGGGGAGTGACAGAGCCTGGCTTTGTGGAAATCCCTGAGGGCAGCCTGCACCTCAGTTTGGCACAGATGGTGCGTGTGCACTGCGGTTAGGTGGAGTGTCGGTGAGAGCTGTGGGAGCTCAAGGGTTTGCTTGGGAGGTTAGTGGTGAATTTGAGTGAATTCCTGAGCTGCCATGATTAGTAAACATGGCAGAAGTTTTTTATGGCAGAAGTAGGAGTTTATCACTGTCTGTGTATGTTTTATTTAAATTTTAAACACATCTTTTTTTCATGCATCAAAAGCTGCTTGACCCAGAGCTTATCATGCACGCTAGAAGCATTGTGTGTGTTGCTCCTGGAGAAGCAACCTCAGTTCGGAGCTATGACTCAGAGATGTTTATCAGGACTCTCTTTTCAGGACTGTTATAATTCCTCAGGTTGTTTCAGCTTTTATTTTAGTAGTCTGATGCAATTCATTTTATTTTAATAGTCTGATGCAAAAAGTCATTTTAGTAGTATGATGCAATAGCAGCGCTAAGTGGTTGAAGTTCCAGGAAAGTAAAAGGAGCCTGGTTATTACAATTACTTTTTGAAATGAAGGAATGGGGAGCCTAAGTTGCAAATTATAATAATTGATTCTGTTCCCATTGCTGGATTTGGTTGAATAAATGAGCTGAGGGGTAACAGGTGGGATACAGTCTGTTCTACATTCCCATTTCTGATTTTCATGGAAATAAGTAGGAGGAGTTTCCAGGAAGAAGGGAAGGACAGATAATATCTTCAACTGCCAGTTCTTTCTTCTCCAAGCTAATTTTATGTCCTGCTCCAAGAAACACAAGTTGCGTTGTTTGTACTTCTGTATCTGACATGTTCTTGGTGAATCCTAAGTAAGAGTGTGCTGGAGTTCTGGGGTAAGAGTTAATTCAGAGCTTTGTCTGTCAGCTGTGCTTTAAACATGCATTTTATTTTTATTTTATTAACAATATTTTCCCAGTTTCATGGATAAGTCCCTTTTTATTTTCTGGGTGGACTCTGAAGTATCAGGCAGCTTAGGATTAGCTCACAAGTGATTGTCACCAGTGTTAATGGAAGAGTTATCTGGAAAGATCACTGCAGTCCCAGTTCTATGTTGTAGGAAGTACAGATATATTTCCATCATCCCTGCGTTCATTAATGCTGATTTGCCCTGTTGTGGTGAGAGATTTATGTTGGCTGGCTATTAAGTCCCGTACTGGACACTTCAAAAGGGAGTGCCTTCTACCTTCAGTAACTGAGATAAAGAACAATAATACTGCTGAGGGAAAAAGAGGTCATTTGGTGACAGGATGCTGAGAAGCCAAGGCTGCAGCACTGCCTCCTTCACATTGCAGTTACTCCTGCAGGAGCAGTGAAAATGTCAGCATTGCCATCTCCCACGTTTCCATGCTCCTCAGCAGCCCTGTGGGAACAGCTCACATATCCATAGGAGCTTAATGTTAATATATTTTTACTGGACTATTTTCATCGGGAAGCCTGGGTGGATTCGTGCCTTGTGCAGTACTTTTTGCATGCTGTAGAAAATAATCCAGTTCAAAACTTCAGGGACCAAGGTACTGGGCTGTCACTCTGAGGAATGTGAGCTGGAGCAGGGTCAGCAGCACTGTGCCAGTTCCCATTCTGACCAGCCTCAGACATCACCACGCCGAGCGCTCTCTGTTGTCCTGCCCAATCCACAGATTGAGATAAAGCTTTAGATTGCTTCTTAATAATTGAAATATAACGCCTGCCTGTCTCGTCGTGTGTGGCTTCCAGCAGCTTAGGAAGGAAGCTGATAGAAAATACACCTTCTCTAAAATTAGTGCAGGTTTCTCTGTAGGAAAAGAGCAGATCATAGCTGATTTACTGAACTCCAAGTTCCATGGCAGGCACTAGCTAGGGTTTGTGGCACACGGTTTCTGCACATGCCAGCACAGGTACTCACCGTTTCATTCACTACCATTTTCTTGTTTGTTTGCCAGCTGTGACAAAAATGTTGGCAGGCAGCTCTTTGCCAGCACAGTATGGAGCTGCACTGAGTTTCTGGCAGCAGGAGCAGATGTGTTTGCTGGAAGATCAGTCACTGATTCCATATCAGGTATTTTATTTATATGAATTGAAAAAGTGACCTGAAACATCACCACTTGCAAAGTGATTAATTTTAATTAATGTAAAACTAATGGACTGGAAAATGGTAGGTGCAATTCAGAATCATCAATAAAATCTCAAATAAACATTTGTTGTTCTGCCCATTAACCCAGTGTGTAATATCAGCTGTTCCAAGGTGACAGCTGCATCTTAAACAGGGAAATGGAAAAAGATTTTTTTTTAAATCCCATTTTGAGCTTCATATTCTGTACAAGAAGCAGTGCCTGGTAATTCCATGTACATTATTTAACTCTTTTAGTTTGTTCTTGGATAGTAAATAGCACAGCAGATCAATATCTTCTAGTGGAAACACCATTCTAGGTCACAACTTTCCAGCAGCAGAAACGAGATCTCTAATGTTTTGTGAACATGTTGCTGAAAAGAACAGTATAGAAAGTGACAATTTGTAAACACCTGTGCAAAATGTTTTTACAGTTAAGTTAAACTTGGTTAATGCTATTGTTTGCTTTGATTCTTTTATGTCACAAATGCTCTGTGGAGAAAGATCTGTGGGTCCTGATGGATGACAGGTTGGCCATGAGCCAGCAGCATGCCCTGTTGGCCGATAATGTCAAATGGGATCCTGGGGTGCATTAAGGAGTGTGGTCAGCAGGTCAGGGGAGGTGATCCTCCCCCTCTACTCTGCCCTGGTCAGGCCTCATCTGGAGTACTGTGTCCAGTTCTGGGCTCCCCAGTACAAAAAAGACAGGGATCTCCTGGAGAGAGTCCAGCAAAGGGCCACAAAATGATAAAGGGCCTGGAGCATCTCCCCTGTGAGGAAAGGTTGAGTGAACTGGGTCTGTTCAGCCTTGAGAAAAGAAGACTGAGAGGAAATCTTATTAATGTTTATAAATATCTTAAGTGTGGGAGTCAAAGAGATGTGGCCATCATCTTTTCAAGGGTCTTTGGGGGCAGGACAAGGGGAAACAGCCATGAACTGGAGCATAGAGAGTTCTGCACTGTAATGCAGAGGAACTTCTTATCAGTGAGGGAGACAGAGCACTGGAACAGGCCGTTCAAGGGAACTTGTGGAGTCTCCTTCTCTGGAGATATTCAAGACCCATGTGGACACCGACTTGTACAGCCTGTTGTAAGGAGCCTGCTTTGCAGGGGGGTTGGACTCAGTGATCTCTAGAGGTCTCTTCTAACCCTACAATGCTGTGAAATGTTATCAGAGTTATTTATTTTTTTAACAGCAGTGAGGCTTTGAAAATAATTTTCATGTGTCTGATTTCTAATCATAATTTTACTGTTTTAAAGGTGATGATACGTGTGAGTATCTTTTGTCCAGCGGGAGATTTCTTGGAGAAAAAGTATGGCAGCCTCATAGTTGTATGATGCACAAGTATAAAAACAGGTATGCAAATCCTTCTGTTGTTGTTCTTCTGGGAAAGATTAATTGTTGTCTGCTGCTGAAATTGCAGTCTCATCCATGTAACCATTTCTGCCTCTGTATTAAAATACAAATAAATGCTGGTAGCAGTACTGGTGCTTGTCACGAGGAGCTACCAGGTAGTTTGGAAACTGTTTTCTTTGTAGCACTGTGGAATAGGAAAGCCTACTTTATCATTCCAGTAATCATATTAGCTGAATAGCTGACTTTCATTTATAGGCAAATTATGCTAAACTTCTAATTATTTCAACACTGAAAAGATGTACTGTTACTTTGCACTGGATGTAATACATACAATTACCTGTATTGATCTACAGATTTCACTAAAGACTTTAATCTATTATAAACTTCCTGTAACATGAGTGTTGCTGTTTTGTTTTTCAGTGAAGCAAAAAATTGCCTCATAGACAAACATATTGTGTTTTTAGGAGATTCTAGAATTCGACAGCTGTTCTATTCATTTATAAAAATCATAAATCCTCAAGTCAAGGAAGAAGGAAATAAGGTGAGATGGTGTATTTTGATGATTTCTGTTTCCTTCTTTTCCAGTTTACTTCATAACTCTTCTCTGAACTCATTTTGCACTGCTTGCTGGGCCAGGAAAAAGAAGCACAAAAAGGAATAGCAAGATTAGGCCAAGTTAATGAGAGTTTGAGACATGAAGTGGGAAGCTTGAGAGCAAGCTCCCAGCAGTCTAAATAAACAAATGCAGCTGACTTCCCCCATAGCTTCTTAAGTGTCATACTTTCTTCTTGTTGAGAGAATGATTGTTCCATTCATGCTTTGCAATTTAGTATCTTATATGTCAGTTAGATTGCTGACCTAACCTGTCCTAAAAATCCTTGGGCAATGACAGGTTTCCAGGTTTAACTTGAGTCTGAAGCTGTAACTAAAACTGGCTTCTGATCTCAGCATGCTTTTGATTGTTGCTGAAAGGTGGGTTTTTATAAGGTGGAGAACGTGAACTGCAGCTTACTGGGTGCAAGCAGAAAGAAAGGATTTAGCTATAGACTATCAGTTTATTATGTGGCACTTCTTAGGTCTGATTCTTCATGGGTGCATATATGTATGTGAGGGAAAAGACACACTTCACTTCCAACTGCAAATGAGATCCGTCATAAGTACTTCTGTGGTTTAAAGGGCAAGCTAGCAGCTTATCTGATAGGAAGGATGCCGTCACTTAGGCTTGTCAAAACAAGGCATTTAATTGATGGAGTAACTTTCTTTTTTTTTTTCCTAGTTATATCATATTTGCTGCCTAAAGGCGAGAGTACATTGAACAGCTGTGAGATGACAGGGTGCTATAACTAATTTTAAGCTGAGAGGTATCTTCTGTCAAGTATTTGTGAAATCCAGATCTGTTCATCGAAGATAAATATACTTTTTATGAGGATCAAAACTAACATTGTCTTAGTACTTAAAGGATTGTCAAGGATTTCTGGCTGCTTTCTTTCTAGTTTCTCACAATCTCACTCAAAAATGTAATGATACCTTCCAGGCTTTGTTTCTTCCTGAGATTAATTTATTTGGATCTTTAATTAAAGCTGTTTCATTTGTTCTGTGCAAAGAAGATAGATGGATGAACAGGAAGGCTAGGGGAAAGGAAGTGAAAGAAAGAGGGAAAAAAAATCTACAAGTTTCTCATTTGGGGAGGGAAAGCTTAGGAAATTATTTAATGAGACCTTTCTAAGAGAGTAAACAGAAAGCATTTCAGATGTAATTCTACCAGGAAAAATAACCCTCTGTGAGAATAGTTTGTTTTATCAAGAAAACAATACAAACACTTTGCATTGAAATACTGACTTGTTTATACAGGAAAATTCTGAAGATAAACCTTTGGGTAAGAGTGAGTTAGCATAGCAATTTTTTTCTTCTGAAGGTTATCTTACTTTGCTTTGATTGGTTTGTTTGTTTTGGCAGCATGGAAATATCCCTTTTGAAGATAAATTTGCTTCAATTAAAGTGGTAAGTTTTTATCTGGCATTAAATTGTATGCCATAATACTTTGTAGCTTATTTCACACAGTGTAATCCAAGCTGCAGTCAGTTTGAATTTTTTCAGACTTCTGCATGTGCTGAAAAGTGAAACATAGTTTCAGAGCATTGACATTCTTTATAAATCTTGAACAAATTACATGAGAGTGTATCTTCAATGCATTATATTATATATCAGATACTTTGAGAGACTTCAGCTTGGAGTACACTCACAGATTCTACCGTTCCATGTACTTACATTATTCAAGAGAACTGCAAAATCTTTAGATCTGCAGTGGTGAAAGAGATCTCCTTTCTGCTGGGAGTATTTCTGCATTGTGAAGTTTCCTTACAGTAATTTTTGCATATGTAGTCCTTGCAACTTCACTTGAATGTGTATTTGCAGTCCTTCTAATACTTCTGCAGAGTAACTGGGTAGTCTGATCTTAACTGGGAGATATAGTAGCATTAGCCAACATGTGGATTGTTTTTTAGCTGAATGTTGGGCACTGCTCTTGACATCTAAAATAAAAAATATTGTAGGTGGTGGGTTTAACATGTGGTTTTCTTTTACACTTGAGCTACTGCTAATTAGTTTGTGTTTCTGTTTTGTTGGTTTTTTTTGTTAGTCTACTGCTTGTCTTAGTGCTTACAGATTAAATCTGCATTTCTTTTAAAGGATTTCCTGTGGTATCCAGAAGTTAATGGCTCTATGAGGCAGCGTATCAAATCTTGGACTGAGGTTAGTGTTATACTGTTTATTTTAGGAAAATGTTGTGACTTCTTCCTTTCATAAAGATGGCTATAAATACAAAAAGGTTAACAACTGCAGCATATCGCACTATCTGCAGTCAGTTGTGTAACAGAGGTCTGAAATCTGGCATCAGAATAATGAAAGGGAGCGTGTGTGTGAATATGTGCTTATTAGCATCTACTGTCTGCCAAGGATGCCTTTACTTGGGCCAAAAAAGGCCTCACTAGAAAAAAAAAATAACCCAACAAAACCAAACACCTGCTTTCTAGGAGCAGGTTGATTCATCCCAGTAGGAACTGAAAGAATTTTTCATCTGATTTGGCAACGTTAAGTTCTCTTTAAAAGCTAAATCAACAGTGATTGTAAGTGCTTATCTGCTTTCATTCTTGCAGATTCTACGACATGAAAATTAGTATTTGTGATATATCTGCAGTCTGTTGTTATGTAACCACTAAATGGACAATTTTGAGCAACTGTTATTTCAAATGGAAGTCTTGGTTAACTTGATCAGTACATTAAATGATAACTATGATTTCTGAATATTTTAAAACTAATTTCTTTCTACTTTGTCTCATAGGGGTCTGTGGCAAAACCTCATATAATTGTAGCAGGAGCTGCCACGGTAAGTTACGCATGTATGTGGCATCTAAGTAAAGGAAGAAGATTTAGTAGGGTAATTTTTATTCTTTCAAGTTAGTTACGAGATAAAGCTGTTAATCCCAGTTTATGATGAAAGTCCCAGTTACATATAAAAGTATACTCTCTGAAATTCCTGCTTATAGCAAGTAGTTAATTCTTAAGCATTAGGTTACAGCTACGTGATACGCATTACTTGGTTTAAAAGCAGTTTAGTTCAGAGACAGTTCAGGTGTTCTACCATTGTAGGAGATCCACATAAATCCATTGGGCTTTAGGAATCTGATTGAGGCTAGAATGTCTCTGCTCAGTCTTTCTACTGAATGAAACACGCTTCTTAAAATGTATGTAAAATACTGCAGGTATTTTAGCTGCGTAGATTTAGCTACTGGGAGTCATACAGGTTCTGAATCTTTTTATTTCATTCTCCAGTGGTCCATCAAGATTCACAATGGCAGCAATGAAGCCCTCACACAATATAAAATCAATATCACTTCAATTGCACCTCTTTTGGAAAAATTAGCAAAAAGTAGTGATGTTTACTGGATCTTACAAGGTAAAGTAATGAACAATAAGTAACAAGAATTCATATTGTCACTGTCAGTTGAACCAGTCTCATTGGTTATGAAGAACTTAGTCTGTACTGCTGATTTACGGAGTACATATGTTGGCTGAATTGCAGTGCAGCTTTTTGAGCAGTTGTAACTAGCTGGCTCCTAACTAGCTGTTAGTAGTGATGGAGATTTTCAAGTCTCTCTCAGTCTCTCTCAGACTCAGGATGCTAGGACTATTTTCTGTTTTCCTGTGTTTGTGTTCCACTAAGTTCTCAGATTACATGAATTGTGGAAGAGGTTCTATAAATGCAGCTTGTGCATGTCTAGAATTAACTCTGAAGAATATTGAGAATTTAGTTCTCTGAAGACAAACTTGCATCTGTACGCTAAGCATTGGTGAGTTCAGATCAGGAGCCAGAAATCATGGCTCAAAATGAGTCTGCGAGGTTTCTATCATGGCACCAACCTTCTTTAGCTTTTCTTCAACAAAACTCAGGTATGACTTTGATGCTGAACAGTGAGCTGATAGGTAGAATTGTGTTTTCTGAGCCAGGAAATGTTTCAGGTTGTTGTCATCTCCGTGAGAAAGGTAAGTGGGTTTTGAGCCCTGATAGCAATATGTTCAGCTGTATCCTTAAAGTCGTATGTAAGTTCCTGTCAAAGATGGTTCTAGAGATTAACCTGGATCAACAGATTCATCTTTTCACATTACTTTCAAGACTAAATTTGTCTATTACAAAAACAATTAACTGTCAGACACGTGCCAACATTCTGCTGATAAAGATCCAGTCCATTTAGGTAATCTCTGAGCTCTTTATAGTTGTAATGGAACAAATAAGAGCAGAAACTGTACACAGAGCATAGTGTAAATATGGTTTGTACGGACTTGGATTATCTAAAATAGTCAAGAGGCAGCTTGAGTAGAAAGCTTAAAGCTTTTAGTGTGTTTTACCAGTTAAGAACATCAGCAGCTTTTCATAGCGACTTGGTGATTTTTTGATCTGCAGTCCTGTGTAGCTTAGTGTTAAGTTCCAAGTAATCCATGTAGCCTGCAGACAGCTAAGCACTGCTCCAACCTGCTGAAAAAACTTAAGATTCTAACATCAGTTAAATTGGATCAGCAGGAACCAGAGGAAAATGCTTATGGAATGTGGCTTAGTGAAGTCAGAAACTGGTTTCATCTGCAGCAGCTAGAGTTCTGAGATTCTTTTTCCCAGTGTATCTGCTCTGCCTGTCTTCTACCGTCTTGTGTTTGGAACCTTTACTTGGAGCATTCCATTTCTGAGAGAAGGCATAAACAGCTCTACTCCAGCACTGTGCTCCACATGGAGCACAAAAGCATTCATGTCTGGCCAAAGCTTTTTTGATCTATTAGTACACTTGCATAACTGGGGGATAACATTAAGAGTATTCCAGTATAAGCTACTCTGGTTGCAGTAATGGTCACTGATTCCTCACTGGTTTTGCTATGTCATTAAACAACTTTAAATACCAAAATGAAAGGAACCTCTGCAATCTGAGCTAACCAAATGTGTTTGTGATGTAGACTCTTCATGTACCCATTTTTTATCCTTTCAAATTCAGATCCTGTTAATGAAGATATGCTGAGTGAGAGTCGGAAAATGATCACTAATGAGAAAATAAATGCTTATAATGAAGCAGCTGTCCGTATTTTGAACAGCAGCTCCCGAAATTCAAAAGCTAAGGTTAAATTGTTCAGTGTATCAAAACTGATAGCACAAGAAACGATTATGAAGTCTTCAGATGGCTTGCATCTGCCTGAATCAAGCAGGGATACGGTAAGTATTTTTAGCACTGGTCGATGTTAAAAAGTAATAATAGTAAAACGGGATTGAAGGGAATGTTTTGAAACAGCAGACAATATGAATGTAGTGAAAACCTTCCCATCCTTCAGGAGATTTTGTTCAGAAGATCCCAGTAGGTGGAATGTCAGGCAGTTTTGCTTATTTTTGTTTATCAAAGAGTGTGAAATGGGTGAGAAAACACACAGTATAGATTTTCTCCACTGTGTGGAGTGCCAGTGGCTTTAATTCTTTATTATCTTTAAGCTATGAATGCATATGCATGTCATGAGCCTCTCTGAGTGTGGTCAGAGTGCCCTCTCTGTGACTGAACTCTCCTGCTGTATCAGCATTAGTTCCACTCCTTTGCAGGTTTCAGTTGCTTTTGAATATTGGATAAGCTAAGTATCATCTCACCAAGGTTTTAGTCTCATTGTCATGTTGTAGACATTTTCATTACCCTGCCCCTTGAGGACGCTAAATTTGTGAGCTATATTTTATGTATAGTGTATATATTTAGTTGCAGCTCCTTTTAGAGCCAATAGAGAGAGCCCTTCTGTTGTAAGAATTAGGCTTAAGTCATTCTGCTTACCTCAGGAAGCTAAAGACTGTAGTGTTTGGAAGAGGTGTTTTGATTCCCATGCTGAATGCAACGAGGATTATGGGGGTTTCTATGAAATTTTTCCTATATGATAAGGGGAAATGCATAGTTTTTCTGTCAATGCATGATCTAGTTGAAGAAAATTTTATGTGATGACAATATTTAGAGATTAATTGGAGAACTGTCTATTTCTTTGACAGAATGCAATGATTCTTATGAATGTCTACTGCAATAAGATAATGAAGCCCATTGACGGCTCCTGCTGCCAGCCTCAGCCTCCTCTCACTCTGATACAGAAATTAGCTTTCTGTTTCTTTACTTTGTCCATTGTTGGATATTTTGTTATCAGTTTAATTCATCGGAATAATTATCGAAAGAACAAATCATGCACTGATTTGGAAATTGGAGAGGAGAAGAAACCTACCAGCAATACTCCTAATGTTTCTACTTTAGAGATGCTGTTACACTGTTTCTGCAAACTTGGTCTAATCATGACCTATTTTTATCTATGTGACAGAGCAAATCTTTTCATGAAGGAAAATAAATTTTATACACACTCATCTTTCTTCATACCGATCGTCTATATCTTGGTTTTGGGGGTATTTTATACCGAAAATACAAAAGAGGTAATGATCAAGTTGACATCTTATTTCTGATGTAGTTTGACAGTTGGGGTATAAATTTCAGATTGCTGATTATTGGAAGTAAACTTTTTAATGTCAGTATAACTCATCTGCAGAAAATGCATTTGCAAGCAATGCAGTGTTTGCATGGAATTAGGTGTAGAATTTTCTTAAAAGCATGTGGGCATGAGTGTGTTTGTTCTTTGCTGCTGTCAGTTTTTAAGCAAGTGTAGCTCCAGTAGGTGAGAGTGTAGATCACATTAACGTGTCTGTTTGCAAGAGGGCTTTTACAGTTTAGACCTATTTGCCCATAAAGTGGTTTATTGTTTTGAACTTTTTCTCCTCGTTTTGTAGATGTTCGTTGTACTTTTTGGAATAGCAACACTCTTGTTTTGTTTTGCACTAGACTAAAGTGTTAAACAGAGAACAGACTGATGAATGGAAGGGCTGGATGCAGCTTGTTATTTTGATTTATCATATCTCTGGAGCAAGCACTGTAAGTGAATTTCAAGGTTTCTTTGGGGGAATGCAAATTGGGCACAAAGCACAAATACTTAATAGAATTGAATAGACTGAATAATTCATACTATTGTTCTGATAGTTTTAGAAATGATATTTGCAGAATTAGGGTATTTTTCGGTTTCCCTGATAAGAGCATGTTATGCACAATTCACCCATATACACAATGTACTTGATTTCTTGATTCAGAAGACTGTTATTTTCACTTCTCAGCAAAACTTTATGTTCAGAGCTCAAAACTATTGAAGTTAAGCTTTCAGATATCCCTTCTTAACTCAGTCTTAACTGATTAAAGAATATGAAAAGTGCAGAATGATAATAATAAATAGAATCTGAATACAGTTCTTATAATGATAAGGGAGAGATGGGGGCAACAAAAGAGCTTAGTAAGAAACAAGAAATGCAGCATGTTTCTTTTCCTTGCTAAACCTGATTTAGTGCAATGCAGAAAAACCAAAACAGGAAAACCAGAAGCATCTATGTAGTTATTTATAAAAGGTACATTATTTTTCCCCACAGTTCTTGCCTGTGTACATGCACATTCGAGTTCTGGTGGCTGCATATCTGTTCCAAACAGGTTATGGGCACTTCTCATATTTTTGGATAAAAGGGGACTTTGGTGTGTACAGAGTGTGTCAGGTAAGGATATATTTACTTACTGTTTATAGAAAGAATTTATTTTTCTGGAAATAGGGTATCTGCAACACATCCATACTCCCTAAGTAGTGTGATGTTAGTGTACTTAACCAAAGTTTTCAGATCCAAAGTGGATATGGTTTCTGTGCAATCCAACACATTTAGTGTTTATTTGTTATTATTTTGCATATGCAATGTTGTCATCAATGTAAAAAATGCCTTAAAAAAAGAAATCGTGTTGTTAAATGTTTCATAATGTATAGCAATGGAATTTCCATTGTGATGTGTGTATGAATATATATGTATGTATATATATAAAATGATCCAAGCTGGTGTTTCTTAAAACTTTTTTTTATATGAGTTGATAAATATTTGGTGAATTCAAGAGGCATTTGTGCACGGACTTTCTTTATTTGTCTGCTTCTGTGAATAAAGGTAATTGTCTAGTGAGTTATTCAGCATATGGGTTTGCTTGCTTCCAGCACTGCAAGTCTTTAAGTAGATGGAACAAATGCTGTCTTGTGTCTGATTTAAATTAAAGCCATTTCCAAGTTGTAAAAGCTTTTAATTTTTGCATGCACTTTGAGTCTTTTCCTTATTGCTGGGGAAATGAAAAATCTTTGGTTTGTTTGGGACCTTTAATAGTGTCCCAAAACACTTGCAGTATTTTTCTTTTTCTTTCCTTCAGATGAGTGATGTTTTGGATCTGTTGAAGAAACTTTCCACATTGCTGTTTCATTAAGCATCCAACTGTTTTGTACTGAAGTAGATTACTAAAACAGGATCAAGAGGCATCACTGCAGTATTTGCTGCCTCTTTCAGAACTTAGCAAAGAAAGCATCCTCACACGCTCCGTATTAATTTTTGCACATTGCAGAATCTAAGCTGAATTTTTCTTCAGTCAGGACAGAGTACTGCATGGCAGCAGCTTGTTTAGCCATTTGGTGTGTAGAATATCACACTCTCTAACATTTTTGTTTCAAAATAATGAAAATTTCACCAACTTATCAGGTGTAGCTGCTTCCTTGGGAGAAAAGGGAGGAATCAACTTATCTTTCGTTGTAGAATGTTTTGTTTTCCTGAAACCTTTTCACTTGAGGGTTCAAAAATTTTTAGATCCAATGGCGAATTGGATCTAAAATCATTAGATTTAGGAATAATATCAATATCATATATTGATAATATAATGATCCTAAATAGGATCATTAGATCAATGGCAAAATGGAGAAGAAGCAAACATTCTCCAAATGCTTACATGAATTTTCGGGGGCTTTTTGGTTTATTTTGTAGGGTTGTTTTTTTGTTGTTGTTTTCCCCTCAAAGACACTATTGTTAGAGACTACAGCAGATGGGATGCTCACTCAGTTCCCAGGCTGGGAGCAGCTGTGTTGTACCCTGTTTTCATTGTTGTTGCTGCTGAAGTAGGCCAGGGTGGACTGGCCCCGTATCACATCATTAACCTTGAGTCTCATGTTGCTCTGCTGTTGTTCCTATGTTTCAACTGAAATACGATCATCACGTGAGGTGATGTTTTCATGTAATGCTAAAGAAACATTCCCCCCTATCTCTGCCAGCTTTGCCTTCCAGTCTATTTGCTATTTAATGAGAATGCATTCTTTCCTCTGGCTCCCTTCAGGTATTATTTCGCCTCAATTTCTTGGTCGTGGTTCTGTGCATAGTGATGGACCGACCGTACCAGTTCTACTACTTTGTGCCACTCGTTACTGTCTGGTTTATGATCATTTATGCCACCTTGGCTATGTGGCCTCAGATAGTCCAGAAGAAAGCAAATGGTAAGATAATGCTCTTTTGCCCTTCTACTCTAAAACATGTACGTGTTCCTGCAGATGTTAATCATGCAGAAAGCTGCTGTTTGTAGACCTCAGCCTTTTTGTACAATAGTACAAACATGTTAAATGACTGCTCACAGAAGTAGGTTGTTACAGATGAATGATACGTCAGTTGAAAAAGTAAAATATCTTTGCTTATAGTCGTATAGGATTCTTTTTAATAGCTTTGACTATCAGAAATGTATTCTATCAAGAGCTGTACCACTAATAAATGGAAGCTAAAAACATAGATTGCACTGTCTTTGCTGGCTGAAATTACTGCCATCGTGTAAGGATGGTGCAGCGTGAGCAGTGAGCATCTGCACATTGCCATTCTGGATTGCCAACGTACTGATCCATCCAGAGCACTGATTCTGCCTCGTCCTGCCATATAAGGGCTTGAGGTTTATCTTTAGCCCGTTAGATTAAGGGAACTGTATAAAGTATTTCTTGGGATGTGAAAACTAGAAATAAAAATTGAAGCGAAATCCATGTTTTTTCATGGATTATGCTTCTGAGAAGAGCTATCACCTTGTGGTAAATGCCTGTTAATTAATTCACCTAAATTAGAACCTACAAACCAAGAGTCTTAAATCCCCTTTCCCAGTGCAGAGAGTAAAATGCAAGTTTTACAGTCTGCAGATAGAAAAATGAAATGCATCGAACGCCAGGAATACGTGTTGGAAGAGACTTGAGGTGTTGGAGTAACTTGAGTAGATTTTAGTATTAATTGACAGCTTCAAGGAACAGTTTCTCTGTCTTGTCTTAAGAAAGCACTTGTCCTTAATGTACTCCAGAGCTGGTACCCCTGAGTTTAGTGATATATGTTCTTCTTATTTTACATAACAAAAGCTGATGGATACTGTTTTATTTATTTTTTGCTCAACTAGAGTAAGAGATGCCTGTGTTGAATATTTGGGAAAGCAGAGGCTTTAGAATATTATTTCTTTTGAAGAAATTCTGTTTGAAGACATTCTGTTTCTTTCTGTGTGGATGCTGACTCTGTTTTTAGGTGTAAGGTTTAGTTTAGGATTATTAGATTGAAAATTACTGCAATTGTTTATTTTAGTTACTTCAAGTAAAACATAAAATGTGAACATCTAGGCAGTGGTAAAGTATTGTTCATAATATTTGAGTATTTGAGTATATTGATTCTTTCTAGTACTGAGCATAGCCACACTAAATAGTTGGCAATTACAACAAAATGTTTCCTTGTATTCACTAGTGGAAAAATGAATGACCATATATCAATTAATTTCTTTTTTCCTCAGGGAACTGCTTATGGCACTTCGGTTTACTGCTTAAACTGATCTGCTTACTGGCCTGTATATATGTTCTCTCATATTCTCAGGTTTGTAAACTTCTTGTATCCTTATTGACTAACAATATTATTAACTGTCTCTGCATTTGACAACATAAGTAACTATTTCTACATTTTAGTGCTTGAGTATTTGCTTCTTTGTCACACGTGCAGAAGATAAACTGGAACCTTCTGTTTATTTTGGTTTTGAATTGGTGTGGTTGCTGGAAAATAAAAAAAAAGCACAGTTCAGTATCTTATTTCTTTGTAATGCTTGACGTGTTCATTACCCTACTACAGATGTAATAAATATGAAGGTGTATGGATGTTTTCTTTAGTTTAGTGATGTTTTTTTTGTGCACGTGGTTGGTTTTGGTTTTTGTGTTTTGTTTTTAATGTGTTCAGAGTTAGCAGGTTTTGTATCAGCAGATGGTGTTACAGACACCCGTCTTTCAGGGACATGCTGTTGGCTTTGATGCTTTATCCTAAGAGTGAATCTCATGTTAAATTACTGTCCTCTTCCTTGCTATGAGTATGGATGACATAAATAAGGACAGCACCTGTTCCTCTAGAATTTACAGTGGCTTTTGTGTTTTTCAATCCTCTATTGGTTTTAAGCCTACCAAACTGCATTCTTTTGTGGAGCTTGCATTAGTTATCCCAATGTGTAAGTGATCTCTCCCTTTGAGTCTCCAATACAAATTGGAAGGAGTGCCAATACCTTTGTGGGGAGGCAGAAAAAGTATCTTTCTCATCTGAGCAAGTACTTTTGACTTCATTTGTTAATTAGCTTTGGCAGGAATAGGGAATGCTTCAGAGGAAGCCAATTATTTTGTAACACCACTTAGCTTTGAGTTTAGAGTATCTAAACCAGTGAAGCTGGAATGACATAAATCAGTTAGCTGTCTTTTGATATGAAATGTAGTAAATATGGTTAATGTCAATGTTAATGCTTTTGTGATGTTTGTTTTTTTACAGGGTGCATTTGAGAAGGTATTTTCTTTTTGGCCACTGTCCAAGTGCTTTGAACTGAATGGGAACGTCTATGAATGGTGGTTTAGGTGGAAGTTGGATCGTTATGTATGTGCCACTTACACATCTTTATACTGTACTTTTAAGTGGTGGGGTTTTTTTTTTTCAATTTGGAGGGTGTGGGAGGGTTGGTTCCCCTTCCTCTAGAGAAAACAGGAGTTTGTCACGGTGGGTTGTTCACTTTAAGCCTAAGACACATCCACTTTAATTCTGCAAATGTCTGCAAAGACCTTGCTTTAAAGAGGGATGTTGGCTTGCTTACTGCTACATCCTGCTTACTTGCTTAAAAAATGATCGCATTTTTATCTTTCCTCTGAAATGTTATTCTGAAATAAAACAGAGAGACACAGTTTTTTTTTTTTTTACCTTCTTGTAAAGGTAAATGGATTGTCTGAGGTGAAAGTGTTTATCTACTGACCTGATTCATAGCTGAATCGCCTGTGTGCTTTTCCCTCTGGCACTCTTAAGTGACTTAAATCTGCAGGGTTCCTGGGGCACTGCCTTGCAGCATTTCAGATGTAGAGCTCTGTTGGCTGTGAGCAGTGCATATTCTGTGATGTTGCTGACAAGGAAGTCCCAAATTAACACTGAAGACAAGCAACACATGGGACTGAAACAGCATCATGTTGCTAGCTAATGAGAAACTGGTGTAACTTCATAAAACACTCAGCTGAGGAATTCTCAGCTGGAACACTCAGCTGGAGACAGGACAAGGGGAAACGGCTGGAAACTGCAGCATAGGAAGTTCCGCACAAATGTGAGCAAGAACTTCTTTACAGTGAGGTGACGGAGCACTGGAACAGGCTGCCCAGGGAGGTGGTGGAGTCTCCTTCTCTGGAGATGTTCAAGACCTGCCTGGATGCCTACCTGTGTGACCTACTGTAGGGAACCTGCTTTGGCAGGGGGTTGGACTCGATGATCTCTGGAGGTCCCTTCCAACCCCTACAATTCTGTGATTCTGTAATTGTGCCTGTGAGAGAGGAAAGCACTTGTAATGCTTCTTGAGTATTTTCACCTGCCAACTTGGGAGAAGGCCAGGGCCTCATGACTTTTCCCCAGAGAAAGCACATTTCAAGTGCTGGCACAGATTGCAGAGAGGATAGTGGGTACTTGAGAGCATCTTGAAACTTCATTGTCCTGAAATTTCATGTCTTTAACATCCTGGGAAGAGTTAGTAAGAATGCTTTATCCTTAGTATTTCAGCTAAGTTTAAGAAAAAAAAGCAGCTTATGACAACCTGGTGTAGGAAGCCTATTTTTGTTAGTTTCAGTAAATCCCTGGGCTTTGGTGTTACAAGTGGATTATATGTAGCTTTTCTGTTGTTGAAGTTTGTGGCTGAAGTACATGTAAGCCATGAAATGCTCATTATGTTGTCTTTTGCAGGTAGTTTTTCATGGGATGCTGTTTGCTTTTATTTATCTGGCATTGCAGAAGCATCAGATGATTTCAGAAGGGAAGGGAGATCCACTTTTCTCCAGCAGAGTTTCAAATGTTCTATTATTTATTTCAATTGTATCCTTTTTGGTAGGTACCTCATTTACAGATTTACGAGGCTGATTATACTTGTTAAAGAGTTCCTTCTGGTTTTGAAGTTCTCCTTTAGAGAATATACTGACTTAAAAATCACTTCTTGATCTGGGGATGCTTCGGCTGTGTATTTTCACCCAGCCTGAACCGTCTACTCACTCATACAGTTTTCAGTCAACTGGAGGTGAGCACTTCATCAGTTTTTCATATCAATGCAAAAACTGTAAGAAAAACAGATAAATAATATGATAGATAATGGAGCTCTTACCTTCACCCTTGATCGATAGTCTAAATGTGGTTTAAAAAAGATAATTGTCAGCGCTGTGTTTTCATCTCGTGTGTGAGAAATTATGGTATTTGTCAGTTGCAAAAAGGGATTTGGGAGAAACACAAAAGGTGTTCTTCCTATTACTGCCCCACAGCCAAATACTGCTGAAACACTTCAAAATAGTCTGTCTGTTGTTTCATTTGTCAGTGTTACACACCACTGTTACTCAGCTGATATTTGTATCTTGCAGACCTATTCCATTTGGGCTAGTAGCTGTAAGAACAAAGCGGAGTGCAATGAACTGCATCCTTCTGTTTCAGTGGTGCAGGTAATGATGTTCCTTTTTCTTACAGTGATAAATCTACAATGGCAATCTGCAGACTGATTTTAATTACGAACTGTTCATAAAAATATATATTAAATGTGATGAATATGTGTATGTGATGCACCTGTGGTTTGGTTAAAGTGAATAAAGTTGTGTGTATGTGTGACCTACTTGTCACCCATAGTCACATCTTTAACTTTCTTTTCTTTTTGTTGTTTTCCTTTTTTTTTTCCTTAAGATTTTAGCTTTCATCCTCATCAGGAACATTCCTGGTTATGTCCGTTCCGTATATAGCTCTTTTTTTGCCTGGTTTGGTAAAATTTCTCTAGAGGTAAGTGTGATAACAGAGCTGCAGTGATCTTCAGCCTAGAAATGCAGGGTGCTTTTGTTACATAAATTGCAGCAGTATAAGATAAATATTGAAAGCATATTGTTTTATTTAATGCTGTTCTTTGACCTGTTTTATTGTAGCTTCCATCCACACTAAAATATCACAGCTGAAATAGTAGTATCAGAGTAGCAGTCTTATTTCTTATGCTGTTTTGGGGGAGACTTGTAGACTGTGGGAGTTGAGGTGTTGTGCTGGGGTAAGTTGTAGTGTGTATGCAGTTGGAAGACAAAATGTGAGTCGTTTAAGGAATCAGCATTAACTGTACTGGCAGAGTAAGCACACTTATAAATCAGTTTGCCCTAAAAAGCTTTGCTGCGTTAATAAAGAAATACAGCTTCACAAGCAGAACCCTTCGTTGTGCACATTTTCTTGTTCCACTGAGAGTATAATTTGAAAGAGTAGGAATTACCTTGCTTTCTATGTTGCTTGCTCTTTATTAATATTAGGTGTATAATTTTATTATTAAATACACCTTTTAAAAGAAAGGAGAGAAAAAACTTATAGGAGAATCTCAGTGTGATACAGTGGAATCCATGATGAAATTTTTCCTTTAAGGATGATGTTTTCAGCATCCTGATCAGTGATGGATTTTAAGGTGCTGATCAGCTCCAGGGGCTTTTCCACTCACCAGCATTTAAAAGCATTACCTTTTGTTTGCAGGCACATTAGTAAACAGAGGGATGGTTACTGAGTGCAGGTGTATTCCTGATCTGTCCTGATAGAATGTAAATTGTTTGTGTCCAACCTGCTAATTCTGTGTTTTTGTTGTCCTCTTTTTTTTTTTTTTAATGTTTTAATACAAAGTATTTAAAAGATAAGACTTTTGTTATTTACATACTTTAACTATAACTGTATCCCAGTTAACTATATGCAGCCCAAGACAATTCCTCTTCATTCAGTGTGTCCTAGGCAAGCCAAAAGGTTGGACACCCATGAAAGGATGCTTCTATATGCCTTGTTGGGTAAAGTCTAAGCAAAGTTAATTTGCTGTGTGCTCTCTCAGTTAAAAATAGTCTTCAAGATCAGATACTGGGCCTTATCTAAGGGAGCTTATAGCAAAGATGTGTGGAATACACCTTCTCAAAGAATATTATTCAATCCTAGGTGTCTTATTTGAACGTAGCTTTGCTTGATGCAATAGTAGTAATGTGATTTTTATGTACACAAAAATATTTAAACATTCTTTTCTTCTAGCTTTTCATTTGCCAATACCACATCTGGCTGGCAGCAGACACAAAGGGGATCTTGGTGCTCATTCCTGGCTACCCGATGTTTAACGTTATCGTCAGCACTTTTATCTTTGTGTGTGTGGCACATGAGATTTCTCAGATCACTAATGATCTAGCACAGATTGTGGTTCCTAAAGATAACTCAACTCTGCTGAAAAGGTTGCTGTGCATAGCTGGGTTTTTTTCTGGACTTCTCTTCTTCTCAGCAATGCAAGAGCAGTCAAGGCATTAATTTGAAAGAGTTCTTGAAAACTTTCTTCAGGTTTGCTTTGTGTCTGCCTGAATAAAAGTTCTCAACTGGAGGTACAAGCAGACATTTACATGAGGTGAGTGGAAGATGTATATAGTGGAAATGTACATATTTCATGTGAAAATAACCTTCTCCAAGAAAGTGAGAAACAAGAATGCACTGTACAGAATTGCATGTGAAAACAGGTCTTTTTCTACTGGATATATGTTTCTGTTTACATATCTGTATAAACGTGGCAAAACAAAGTGAAGTGAAATGGAATAGCAGCGTCATGTGCGAATCATGGAATGGTCTGTTCCTTGGGTCCTCCAGATGGAGGGTGGATGCTACTGCACAGCGCGCAGAGTAACGCACGCTGTAGTCATTCTTATCAAGGAATGAGAGGAGAGCAGATTTGCCCTCCTGTGTTAATGGTCACCTTTAGCTGATGTGAAACATGAAGTTATTTCTCTGGTAAATCAGGGCATTTTTCTAAACCAAGTGGTAATTTGTTGTTCAGGTGAAAATAGTATCTGTCATGTGAAACCCTTTATACACAGAAACAAAAAGCACCACTTCAGTGACTTAAGATGATATGCAAGTTGACAAAACATTTTGTGTGTTTTTAAGACATTTCCAAGAAGTATGGTGAATTATGAGGTGAAATCTTGTTAAAGATGTAGAATTGTTTTTTTCTCCCCTAAAGCTGTTTGCCTTGTTGCAAGTTTTCCACTAATTCATGTAACTACGTGCAGTTCTTTCTGTTCAGTCCCCATGTTGAAGCTGTTGGAAAGATACTGAGCTGTTTCTTCATTGTGTACGTTATTTCCAATGTTTGGAAAGTTACCCTCCTTAATGAGAACGTGAATCACTGAAAGATGTAGTAAAGGTCAACACTGGTGGACAGGATGCATTGATTGCCATCTGTGCCAGTATTAGCAGTCATGGAGAACTTTGAACTTGAGGGGATGATGTTTGTTTCGTTCTTCACAAGCCGAGTGTTGTAGATATAATTTTATTTATCTGTTGTACAGATTTGGTTAAAAGATTTATTTTTAATGTTTGAAATAATGCACTTGTTTACTATTACTGTACGTGGGATAAATATATTTTCTTTTCATGTTACGTAATATGAAGTAATTTAAACATTAAATAAATGTGCTGTGGATGCTTATTTTTCTAATGGGAACAGCAGCGATGAAGTAGAAGTTTTTTTTTATTGCTTGACTCCAGCTGGGCTGCAGCTCACTACCACACCTGTTGTAAATTGATGATTAGTATTGCAGAATTTCTCTGAAGTGATATTCTGGACACTGTTGCTGCACATTAAGGGGAGATGTTCACTTGCATAGCTGCATGTCTGCTTGACCCTGAGTGTAACGCCGGGGCTAAAGAAGCCCTGCCCGGTGGTCCTTGCAGAGCACACAGCTGGAGGTACAGCTCCAGCAGCCAGAATCGCTGCAGTGTGTGGGTGATGCTCCAAGGTACCATTGCTGGGGAGAGAGAGAATGCAGTCCCCTTTGGGCTATAAACCAGAAGCTGTGGCAGATATTTCTGCATGTAATTCCTGATCATCAGTAAGATCAGGAAACCCATCCTTAGTTTGTTTGGTTTAAGGAATTTAGCTTAATGTAGCTGCTCAGGTCCCATACAAAGTAGTTAACATAAGAGGGGCTGCTCAAATAAGGCATTCAGAGCATGCATTCCTCTCCCCGAGTGCGCAGGGAGGTGTGGGGCTGTTCTCTCTCACATGGGCACCTGAACGCAGTGGTGCAAATCCTCTCCCATCCTTCTCATGTTAAACAGAAACCCTGTGCAGTGAGCACCATTTCTTTCTTTAATTCTGAAGCACTGCCATCTGACTGACCCAAACTGTAAAAAAAACTGTTCAGGCATCATTATGTAATAAACAAGCAATGACATTGCTACTTAATAGTTGTCTTATTTATTAGATTTTACACTTCATATATTTACAGAGACACCTGTAGTGCTTTTTACTTGATTGTAGACAATCTGGTTACAATATCAGTTGTACTGTCATTGCACATTGCTAAAAGAGGCTGTAACTTTGCCATTCCATTTATCACCGGTTTTAACTATTATTAATTCTTTAACCATCAAGTGTCTTCAGTCAGCTTTATACATCTGTGCTTCTGTGGTAATTATTTTAATAAGTAAAAAATAAATCATTTCTTATTAAACTTACCTCAGCTGCCTGAAGATTTCAATCATAAAACAGTTCAGGAGTGCTTAACACCCATCAGCTGCATCATCAGTTTTGTTCAGAGGACGTGCAGCACCTGCTGCTACCACCTGATTCTTTGTGCATATATGTAACAGAGTAAGAGAGTTCCTTAAATAAACTGGCCCTCCTGTGTTTTAATATAAATAAAATGGGAGCAGCTCAATTGGTATTTCAGCGATTGTCATGTCGTCCTAAGGTTATCAGAAATGATTGCGATCTGAGTTCAGTACTATTTACAAAATGTCTTTAGGTGAATAACAAGTCATTATTTAAAATCTGTTCCATTCATTTCTGTTTCAGAGCACTGACAGCTCATACATTTGAAATTAGCAGCAGAAACCCAAAGGCTGATTTTATTCAACTTTTTTGCAGTGTGACGAGAAAAAAAAAAGGTACATTTTTAATTTAGCATACATCTCAGTGTTCATTATCTGGTCTTTAATTCACTTTTCCCTGATAGCCATCTGTGCTGCTTGGGAAAGCGGTGTTCTCATAGGAGAGTGAGTGATGAAATCTCCTGTAGGACATTTTGAATGAGGTCGGAATGAGGCACGCCTCTTGGAAAGCAAGTAGGAATGGCTCTTTATTCCCCCTGTTGCACAAATTGACTTGTTTTTTCAGCTTAGACGATAGCTTGAGCCATCTTTTGTAGTATGGTAACCACTGCCAGTAATCCTGTGGCTAAGTGAGCTTGCTAGTAAAGTGGTCCTGGCATTTATGGGCAGCTCTGCAAACTATGGGCATTAAGGCTGGACAACACAGGTACAGACAGCAGGTTGGTTTGGTCCAGTTCGCAGTGCTCACCCATCCTGTCCTGATCACCACTTATAGATACAGCTGCAGCCGTTACTTGTTGCACAAAATGTGTCTAGAAGGTATCTCAGGACTTCTTTCCTTTAATTAATTATTTGCCAAGGCATTGCACTGAAGCCCGTGCCTTAAAAAGGAGCGGCCTTTCTCAAACATGTTACTGTTTTCAAGGAACAGTGTCATGAGAAAGGGGAAAAAGCCAGAGACTTCAGTCTTTCTGCAATCAGAGTAATGATTTTAAAACGTCTTCTTAGGCTCGGTCTCGAGTCCTTAAAGTGGTCACAGTTTCCCTTGGGAGAGACCTGGAAAACCTCGGCTACAGAAATATAGTCAAAATACAGCAATTTTAAAGCAGATTCTGCTTTTTGCTTAAAATGCCATGTTCCCACGAGCATAAAGCCTCTGAAAGAGGAATACTACAGAAAATAGGACACAACCAAAGCAAAGTGTCAGCTTCAAACAGTGACGCTTTGAGAGGCAACCACGCACAGCTGGATGGAGACCCTTCCATCCTGTGTTCCACTCTGATGCTTTAGAGAAGCAGCAGTAAAAAGTGCCAAAAATGCCACATGAGATCAATGACCACCATCATCCAAAAAATAGGGAAACTTCCATTCAGATCCCCACCGTTACCAAGTTCCTACTGTTAAGCATCCTGTTGCATAGACAAATGCATCTCAAAAGTACCGACCTCCCAGGACATGCTGTACACGGTCTGCTCCTTATAAAACAGCTACAGTACAATCCCCGGTGTATGGGAAGGGATGGCCAATTCTCTCACTTTTCTTTTTGCTCCAGACAACGAGGATGTAAAAGATGGATCGCATTGGGAACGCCACCAAAAGCTTTTAAAGAATGTTTTTAAAGGCTTAAAGGTAAGCACACACATGCTAAGTAAAATGTACCCTCCTTTATTTGGAGACACTAATTTTTGCCTGCAGTGCTTTGTGAGAGTTTCCTCTAAAATAATCTGGTGAATGAATGGACAGATTTTAAATTTTATTGCTTAGAAGTCATCACAAGTTAAAGTCTGTAAAGTAACAAATCCAATTTTCAGCACGAGTAGTTAAGATTTGGGGTCATTTTGTTGTTTGATTTCCCCTCAAAAATAACTTCCTACATTCCAACCATCTCTACGAAATGAACAGCTAATAAATCTGGATGCTATTTCCGAGCCTCGTATTGCACCAGTTTCCATGCTTACACAGCCTTTTGGTGTGCAGACGTAAGGCAAAGGTACCATCCCATAGCACAGAGTCTAAAATCCTCTGAACCTTGTGCTTGTTTTCTGGTTCTGATTTCCCTGTTAAAACTTTCAGGAGAGATCATGAGACAGAAAAAACTTGGATATTTATTAATACATATATTTGAAATATTGTTTTCTTAATGTAACAAATATAAAAAGTTATCAGTGTTTACAAATTGTCAAAAATGTCCAAAGTACAAAAAGATACAGTACATTATTACGTGGAAGTGATTGTACTCTCTGGCACTGGAATCGGTTTAATACTGTGGGCATGCACAATAGACACCAGGAAAACTCATGCATCAATCAGAACAAATAAGGAAACAGGACATCTACTGCTTTCTCTGATCACAAATTCATTGCTTCTGTTAGTTTCCGTTCCTCAGGAATACCATTTACCTGTAAATAGACAAGAATTCTTAGAATGCATCAATGGCAGGCGATGCCTTAACAATAATCAATCAGCAGCACAGCATGGAGGTACTGCTTATTCATCCTAGGAACAGATGGTTTAACTGGGAATACATCTTTCTACTTCAAACCTCACATTGCACTGGGAGACTGCAAAACTCCACATGGAAAACACCGAGTAGGCAACACGTGCACTATTCAATCTTTTGTATTATAGAAATATCTTACACCTTTGTTCACCTGGCCTTGGGACAGCCCTCACTGATCTTGCCAATCTACAAGAGAAATAATTATAAAAATAAAAACTTAATTTACCTTTCTGTATTGGAGGTCAGCAGCAGTTTTCAGTAGTGTTGCATAGACATTATATACAATTCCTTCCCAGTTACACCAGTCTAGTGGCTGCATTTTACATGTGGCTAAAAAAACTTTGTTTCTTCTGGAGCTCTGAATGGCTCCTGAAGAGGATATTGCTACTATGCACCCCCTGTTCTTCAAATCAAATACTCTGATTGGCTGAAGTTTTAAAAACAGAAATATCCTCTTAGTCACGGCGGTGAGCGTATGATCGCAGTTCTGAGCACAGCACTGGGACTTCTCCACAGGAAAGGAAGAAAAACAAACCACGAGCGTTAAGTTTACTGTTTCTTTGGCCTTAAGCACTTTAGGTCTCTACATTTCTTAGTTGAGCAGACCAACAAAATGGACTGCTATCTTTGTACCAGTGCTATTCAGAATTTTAGGAGAGCCTGAGTTTTCCATTCAGCCTGAAATTTTGACCACCTGAAAGTCTTCCTGGGACTCTTCTGTTCAGGAAGAGCAAACACTGCAACCAAAATTAAGTACTTCAGAAAATACAGACACAGGAGGGCTTTTTTATGGCACTTCTTCAATGCAGTTTGTGAGTTAACCCACGTTAACTTAACAGTTCAGATCTTTTATAAAATTTCTCTCTGCTATCAACACACAGTGTGCTACCACGAGATTTTGCCTCTTTTCACTGCAAGACTGTTCTTATAGGAAAACTGTCATGATGGAGCAGCTGATATTTGTAATGGTTTTTTTCTGCCCTTTAAGTTCCTGCAGTAGTGAGCATTCAGAACTATGCTAACTTTCATCCCAAACCAGTGCTGGAGGATACAGGTGGATACTTCCAGGGTCATCCACCATTTCCAGTATACATCTAATGAAGCACATAAATGGCAAAGCCAATAGCACAGCATTAAGGTTGGGTTTGTTTGGTTTGTGTTTTCTTTGTTTGTTTTTGATTTAAAACAAACAAACAACAACAACAAAGTGCAGAAGCATCTTCCATATACTTGCCTCAAATCTTTGAAATGTTGTCATACGAAATTCTCCTTCAATCCCCGAAAGCAGTAATGAAGAAGAAGGATTTGAATGAAAACAAAGAGTAGCTTACATAGCCCCTAACTTAACACAAACCTTCCTCTCAGAGCTGTAGTTCACACATTATATTCTGTATATACATATTTACAATTTTGCCTAAATACCTCTTTGAATATTGAAAAACTCTACTCTGGGCTCTACATTTTCCTTATATCATCCTTATGGCCTTTCCCATGTGGAAGACTGCATCCTTCCAGTACCAAGAGGGGGAAAGACTGTTTATGTGGGTGGATAGTGATAGGACAAGGGAGAATGGTTTTAAACTGAGATGGGGAGGTTTAGGTTAGGTATTAGGAGGAAGTTGTTCACACAGAGGGAGGTGAGGCACTGGAACAGGTTGCCCAAGGAGGTTGTGGATGCCCCATCACTGGAGGCATTCAAGGCCAGGCTGGATGTGGCTCTGGGCAGCCTGGTCTGGTGGTTGGCGACCCTGCACATAGCAGGGGGGTTGGAACTGGGTGATCTTTGAGGTCCTTTTCAACCCAGGCCATTCTGTGATTTTATGATCCTTCTCAGCACTGACACAGTAGCTAAAGTGAGCAGTCAGCCTTAGTCACAGCCTCAGTCAGTACACACTGTGAGTTGACTAAAAGGTGTAAGAGTGAAGACTAAGACACTGGAGACCAGCATCTCTCAGCAGATTCACTACTATCAACTGTTCATGCCTGTTAACAGCAATAAAAAGCTCCTTCAGTGCTTAACTAGTATTAGTAGCAATGAGAAATTTTGATTTTGTATAGAGTTTTAGGGAATCTGAAAAATATTTGGGAATCTGGCCAGAGTTTGCTGTTGTAATAGAAAATAATTTATGTAAGGAGGTTTCTGTCATAGCAGTACCTAATTCCAGTATTTAAAATTGAGTCTACTTGTTCAACCAGTGCCATCTCAACATTTTCACTGAGGGATCCAAAAATGTCTGGAATTACAATGCTGTAATAATTATATTAAAAAATGTTTTCCACTGACTGTAGGTGTTTCGATTGCCCACTGATCATTTCATAGTCACAGTGCTTTTCTTTAGTACTGACCTGCACTCTGCTGCTGTGGAATCTGAGTCTGATGTGGCAGGTTCCTACAAAACACAATTGAATATCTTTAATGCTTCCGCACCAAGGCTGAAGTGTGTTATGCATAAAACCTCAGTAGGTCAATTTAAAAGTCGTGGGGTTTTGCTTACGAAGCAGTAATTTATTTTTTGCTTCACAATACAGCTGTG